GGAAGTTGTGCGAGGAAGAAAACATTTTCTAAATCGCACAGTGGTGGACCGGCAATCATCCAGGTGGTATGGATGGATGACTCCATCTGGCCTACTCGACTTGCTGACGTCCAGGGAGAAGAGTGCTCTACGAACCGAACGCTGTGTAAATCGCACATCCGGCATGGAGCACTCACACCGCGGGATGGTCGGCGGTGTATTCCCCCCGTCATCTAGAGTTGAGTTGGACGTAAAGAGAGAGCTTAAAAGATCGGCTTTCTCCTTTGCGGCATGGGCCAGTGAGCCATCCTCTCTGTGCAGAAATGGAAGAGATGGCTGACAGAAGTTCCCTTGGACAGCCTTGGCGAGAGACCAGAATGCACGGGTTCCCGAAGGAAGGCGAACTAGCTTCTCGCCAATTCTGTTGATGTGCTCAGACCTTGCCTTGGCAATGACGCTTTTGAAAGACCTGGAGGCGGAATTATACTTCTTTTTAAGTGCGCTGGTATTTACATCCCGAGACGTTGATGCATCAGCCCAGGTCCGGTAGCACTCCTGCTTATATATAATATAATTTTAACTTATAGTTTTTAATTAATAAGTTTGGTTACATGCCCATATAACGAGTTTCGAAAGTGCTATTGAAATTGATTGAAACTCATTTGGAAGGCTGAGTAACACATTTGTCTTGTATTTCTGTATATCAGCTGCATTATGTTAATAGGTACCTAAGTCTGCCTTCATCGTCGGAACACTGCGACTGATTTTATAATAAATGTTCTGAATAATGTATATAATAACGTTTTGTTTTATTTTATCATTCTATAGGAATCCAGTGGATAAAATAACAAACATATTATGTAGCATAGCATACCTTCCTTATTCCTTATGAAATCTGAGGATAAATTACAGAATAAGAAAGAGACAAAGTAGATGTATGAAATTGGGTTGTTGACTTCGTTCATAACAGTTATACAAAAATATGTAAGTAATATAACGATAAAATATAAGCATAATTAAATGGTTTTTATTTCTGTAGTGTATGGGACAATCATAAAAACATTTTTTAAAACTGAAAAACGAAAGCTAATGCTTTTACTATAGCAAAAACCATAGATTTAGTATACTTAGATTGGCCATGTAAAAGAGAAAGGGCATAGCATATGCTTACGTTAGAACGAGATAGAATGGCTAAACCATACACATACACGCTATCAGCCTATATCAGCCTAACGTCAATGGTTAACGAAATAAATCCCGCTTATTTTCGCGATATTTTTGATTTTGAAGTATTAATAAGTATTTAAAAGGTGTGATTAAATATGGTGACGTGTGCCGTACCTGAATGCAGTTCATCGAGAAAAGAAAATCCACAAAATTACACATTTTACATGTAAGTACAATTAAAATATTTAGAACTTTAAATTCAATATTTCAGAACTAGTACAAATGTTTTATACACAAATAGAAAAATATCGCATTTTATTACGATAATGCTCTAAATGCGTGAGGATTATATTAAAAATAATAACAAATACGTGAATTCCCGCATTTCTCATCAAATTTTTGTGGGGATTAGGCGTGTGTATCTCTTTACGGAAACGACTCACTGATCCGAATGACTGAAGTGATACAAAAGATTGGTTCAGTTAAAACGTTTCAAATGTATCATTTATTTGTATCTGGAACAGTGAAACATTACTTTGCTCTTTGCTCATTTCGCGCGACGCGTCGCTAGCGAGGCGACTGAGCGACGAGCGAGAGAGACAGACTGAGACAATGATTAACTTAACTATTGACTCACGAGTGGCGAGTGAGCGGGCGAAATAATTATTATCCACACAAGTCGGATAGAGATAACAAATAAGAAGTGTATCACTCAACTCGGACGGATTTTCGCTGACGTTATTCATGCACGTAAAAATTATCACTAAGGCGCTTACGTGTCAAATACTATACGGTCGTTTTTTGTTTTTGTATGTAATGTTTGCATTAACAAGTTGCCATTTTACGTTGATGCGGCACTTGTCAAATTATTTTTATTCCTTAGCGCCTGTTTACGAAAACATACTGAGTTCTGTTTAGGATTTCTTTACGTAGTGATTTTTGTGACTACTTTCTTCCTATTCATCATAAAGTTAGTTATGAGACTACGAGAAAATTCTGTGTACATAGACATTGCTGTTTTGTGTAATTGGACATTTTTGTAAATAATGAATTGACATAGTGACATTTTTGTTAAAGTATGAAGGAGAATCGATTTTATATACAATCTTATTACGGTACACAATAAATAATCTAAGCACTTATATTATTCAGCATTGTTGGCACATAACATTTCACGGATCAGTCAGTAATAAACGCCCGCGACGCAACTTAATGTATTCGGAACATTCTGTATTTTATATCTTTTGAGTCGATGATCCAAATGAAACATATCAGTGTTTCGGAACATTTCAGTGATCGAGATGCAAATGTTCCAATCGCAAAAATGATACACTGCCCACCTCCGGTAGGGAATAGGGATTGACACTATCACTATCATCTTATAGATAATATGTTTATAACAGGTAAAGGCATATCCTTGGATGCAGCCTCTTGTGATTTGGTTTTTTTTAATTTTCTATTTTTACGTTGTTGTATTTTGTAATAGTAAATACTTACGCATTATTGTAAATACTTTAATGAGATGATTAATACTCTTATAATGTTTCAGATTTCCAAAAAATATTCAGGTTAAACAAAAATGGTTAAAAATAATAAATAGAGAAGGATGGCTTCCCAAAAAAAAAATTCACCTAGATGTAGAAAGCACTTTGAACAAAAATGTTTTTCTCATAGAAGTGCACAAAGCTGCGTTTTGGATCAATACCCACATTATTTATGCCCGTACGTATTTTCTTAATTATATATTTTACTGTACATATTATGTTCATTTCGTTTGCACATGTTCAAATGTGTACAACTTGTTGTCGTCATCCACGTGGTGTATATTTTTTTATAAAACGAAAGTAACAAAGGTAACACTTGATAATAAACGGCTACTGCAGTACTTGGTCACCTACAGCCATCTTCAAACAAAGAAAGTTACAAATTTTTTACGTGTTAGAGCCATGTTGCAGCTATATCAATAGAATAGTTGTAGCACGAATGGGTCGGCTCGACCGGGGAAGGACCACGTTCTCACAGAATACCAGCGTAAAATAGAAGCTTAATGCTGCTGTGTTTCGTATGGTGAGTGTAGAGAACCGAAGACCCTTTTTACTGGAAAAGAGGCATTCCATCTTAGTCCTAACTGCTGACAACGCATCTGCATTTTAATTCGCAAACGAAGATAGATACAGATGTCTGTGGGCCACAGCAACCACTTACTATCAGGTGGACTATGTGCTTGTTTGTCACCCTAATTCTATAAGAAAAATGTGTTTTCACCCCTGAGGACTAAGAAAAATTGTCTTATAGCTTATAATTATACAGGCTCTCTGTACTCAAATGGCTGGAACGTGGCAGTGTAAGCACTGCTGTTAGGCGGTAGTGTAAGCACTGCTGTTTAGCGGCCAAAATAGGTAAAAGGGTTGTATTTTATTAATTTTAGTCATAGATAAGTACATAATGTGTACAATAATTATATTTGTTTGTAAGTTGTATTGAAGCCGGTACGCAAAACATCGGCATGTGTCTGCCAGTACGAAGTAGCTCAATTGCAAACGTTTCTGTTATAGACAGTTCCCCGAGAAAGGAAAAAATTGAAGAAAACTATTGATATTCTTCGGAGAAGATTAGATATGAAACAAAAAAAAACTGAAAACTGTAAAAGCACAAAAAACGGGCTAATAAAAAAGTGGAAAAGTTGTATCAAGTGATAAAAAACCTAGAAAGGCTTTCCACACTTCAAAATAACATTAATGCTGTTGTTACGGCCTACGGCTGCTCCCTTAAAGGGTCCAATCCTCTGGGGCCCATGAGCAGAAGACTTCCTGAGCAGACGTAGGTCGGGCCTCAATGTGGCCACGTGGAATCTCCCGAATTACACTAAAATATATGGGGGAGCGTTCTATACTACGGCCAGTCGACCGGCAGAGGAATTAGGCGGAGCTTACTTACCTATATCCAAGGCGACTGGTCCCTCCGGAGTCGGTCAGGTCACTTGTGGTTGTGTAGTGAAAGGGAAATAAGTGATGTGATGTGTATCTGGGTGTGACTGATGGTGATTGAACCTAGACCTTGGCCGTCGGCAGCAGCCCGAGCGTCGACACCGCTCCAACTTGAGGGCGGCTTCCGAGGTTGTCCACAGTCACTTTCTTCTTTCGTCACGATGACAGTCAATTAACTCTATCGTACGATTAACTAACTTACAGAAGCCACTAACTATCGCTGAGTATAAGGTTAACGCACAAACGCACACGGAGTTTACAGATCAAAGGTCACGACCGTTTCGCGTAGCAACAGTTAGTTCTAGAATATCAGAGGCCGCACTAACTAATATTGTCGAATGCACTTATACAGATCTGAGTCGGACCCAATAAGTCCCGGGAAAGGCTATCCAAACAGGGAATGCGCGTTATAATTCCTAGACAGGATATTTACTAGACGCCCTAACTATTCCGCGGTTCCCGCACAAAATTAACAGCGTGCAGACATTAGCACAGCTGGCAGACGACTGCTGCGCTTGCGACCCGCGCGCCACTTGCCACGCTCGGCCGAACTTCAAACTGGTATCGCCGAGCCGCGCGCCCTCTAACGTCAATCCCGAAATCAGCGTTCGAGCGTAAACAGCTGTAATAGCATCTTTTTTTTTACATGGTGAAATGCCTACGCATACCCGCCTCGCGGGGGCAAGGACGGGTTATGTCGGACTCGCACCGAAAAAAAACCCCATGGTGTTCCACCCTCGTCGCATATTGGCAGGGCTACGGGAACGCTTCCGCACACATCCGCGGCCCCACCTGCGCTGGTCGCCCCATGGCAGCCTCTCCTCAGGAGAGGACTACTCCTCCCCCATCTCCTTCTCAGGTAAGGCGCACCAGAACACATGGCGCGCCCTCCTCCTCGGCCTCCAACTTAAGATGCGCAACGGACGCCCACGTGTCCGATGCGCGAAGGCCATGGGGCCAGGAAAAACTAGCACTCAGAAGCACCAGCCTTCCTGACCCCAGCGGCGGATCTGGTCTATGGCTCCGCCGCTAACCAAGATTCGGCTGCGGAGGGTAGGGAGAGCGGCGCCTCGCAATACCGACACTCCTCTCCCCCGCAGCCCCACCACCACCGCATCAACGGTGCGGCCCCGTTTGAGTCGCGGAGGATAGGGCGAGTATCGCATCGCCATACCAACACTCCTCTTCCTCCGCGACTCCACCTCGGCTGCAGCGGTAGAGGGAGCGGACACCCCTCCCACCGCAGCCCACCGTCACACATCCGAAGTGGGCTCGCCAAGTCCACTCGGAGTGGCCACCTCGGGCCGGCCCTACACCACGGGCCAGCCAAGGGGTTCCTCTTTGTTCACCGTGGCTGACCAAGCTACGGCTACTAAGCCCCCTCGCCACGACAAGGCGGGAACCCGTTCGGGGGGGGGGGGGGGGGGGGGGTAATAGTATCTAGTTCGAACGATTTATTGCAGCATCTCATCGAAAGGGTGATTAAGAAAAAGTTTATGAGATAGGTATTCGTTCTGAACGAGTTTTCCGAAAACATGTGAAAGGAAAATTGTAAACGAAAATATGTTTCGAAAATTAGTAAACGAATGCCTTGTGTCCTGCAAAACTTTTTAACATACTTGACATACATATGTACGATTCGCAAGCACTATCAAACCATAAACACTTAATTATTAAATTAATAATCGAAACTTATTTGATTATTAGATTGAAGTATGAAGCAAAATTGTAAGATACCTCTTAAGGAGAGCTTACGACATTTTTACAATATATTAGTTATTTTTGGTGGAAAATAAAAATCACAAACTTTTTGTTTGTAGTTTTATTTTTATGCCCTCATACATAATAATATTCATTTTATGACACATAGTTCTGTATCGATAATTGAAGTTGATACATGGCGCAGCATGCACATTGCACTCACACGGGTACATTTCGTTTTTAGTCTCACCCTAATCACGGCATCGCCAATCTAATGTATACTGTTAGGAATGAGTAAAATAATAAAAGAAAATAAGAAAAATTGAAGATGGCAACACGGCTGTGCAGCCATTGGTAGATCGGTCCGTGTCCGTGTTTGCTTCAGAGTAAATTCTAATACGAGTAACATTATTTTATTTAAATCATTTTGAGAATAGTTTCTAACATCAGAAGTGGAATAGTTTCTAATATCAGAAGTGGGATAAAGTCCCTGTTACTGTCCACGTATACACTTTAAATATTTTTACTCCAAATGGGAGACGGCTAATTGGACATGGTCAGGTGCGTGGCCGAGCTTCGGTAAGGTTGAGGCTACGCCGCTACTAACTGCTGCAAACTGCTGTTTCTGGGCCGATCTTACGGCGGGATGGCCGGGTGCCCCCGAGCGCTTGGGAAACTTGATCCTGGGATGAGTAACATTTATTTAATAATTTTAAATTTATGTAAAGTCAAGTCAAGCATTGAATCAGGTGTTTTGTTGGAAAATCGAATGCGTTTGCCTGAGCAACCCTTAGAATCGACAGAGGATACAAAAGAGTCCATACAGAGTTACCAAAGTGTTACCAAGTTATCGGTACAAGTTGAAGTTATTATCTGAAACTAGAGGCAAAATTACCCATGCCGCAGCTCAGTATATGGTTCCATGGAAAGGCGAATGGTGTCCCGAGAGTTGTGTTGCATTTTTGTTGAAAGTGTGTTTCGACTGAATCTTTTTAATACATTTTCTTTTGAGTGTTACAGTAGCACGTGTGATGTGATTACATGTGCGCGAGTGTGAGGCGTGTGTGCCTTGCTTGTTGGAGCTGGACTGCTGGGTTCAGCTGTAACATAGCCTGGTTTCGGCGGACGCGTGTGCTGCACGTGTGGCGGGTGCCGTCCCGGAGCGCGCGCATGCTGTACATGGCGGTGCTGTGGGAAGTCGTATTTTCTGAACATGCATCAGGCGCTGTCCTGGCAGGCGCTGTCCTGGGGCGCTGTGTGCGCTGAAGTCGTATTCTGTGAACATGCATCAGGCGCTAACCTGAGGCGCTGTGAGCGTGGCGCCGTGTGCGCAAGCGCAGTGTGCGCGGAAGTCGTGTTTTTTTGAACATGCATCAGGCGCTGTCCTGGCAGGCGCTGTCCTGGGTCGCTGTGTGCGATGCGCTGTGTGCGCGGAAGTCGTGTTTTCTGAACATGCATCAGGCGCTGTCCTGGCAGGCGCTGTCCTGGTTCACGTCTTTAACGTGGGAACTTGCAAGTTCAAGTACGAGTATGTACGAGATACTTTGTATGGAGATGTATGCATACTTGTGAAAGCGAAGTTCTTTTTTATAGTCTGCGGTATGAGAGCGTATTTCTGTTTGAGGGCCTCGTATGCGAGATGGATGAGAGAATAGGCAACGGTGTATGTTGTCCTTGTAATTAACAACTTGTTTTTAACACACAGATCACGACGACTACAACCCCGACCCCTGTTGTAATAGCCACGTGCGCTTGCCTACCTATGGAATGTGCTACCTATGGAATGTGCTGTGTGTCCATTGTGTCGTGTGGCGCTTGCCATTCTACGTGTGGCAGCTCGGGCGCGGTAGCGGCCGCGCTGGGCGCGTCGCCGTCTGCTACTGGCGCACAGCTTGGCCTACGCCTCTACATTCAGCTTTCTTTTTGCAATGTGTATAGTGGTTTGTGAGTGCCATGCACACAGTTACTATTTAGCGTTTCTTATGACATGTGTGGTGAATTTTAGAAGTCTGGAATTCTATGGTTCGCAATACATTTATCTTCATTTCTTTTAATTTTGTAAAGCAGATTATTTATTTGTTTCTTGCACCTGGAACTTTTTACATCTATTCCAATCTTAAATTACTTTAGTCATCTATTTTGTGAAATCGATGTTGGATGTACTTGAGTGCACGCTTGTGCATCTAATGTAATTGTTTCCATGTCTTTTGCTTGGACTGTTGTATATTTAAAATTTTACATAAAAACTACTTGTAGTAAAATCCAATATGAAAAAGGTTTCAGGTACTAATTAACGCTAATTTTGTATGTCAACAGCCACTGAGGGGTATGCAAACTTGGTGCCTATGCCTACAGTGTTGAAGTCTGTGTGATACGCTAACTTTGTGTCTATGTTAACAGCCACTGAGGGGTATGTAAACTTGGTACCTGTCCCTACAGTATTGAAGCTGAGACAGCTCGCTAGTGCGAGTACGCCGAGACAGCTCGCTAGTGCGAGTGCGCCGAGACAGCTCGCTAGTGTGAGTGCGCCGAGACAGCTCGCTAGTGCGAGTACGCCGAGACAGCTCATTGCCGCGAGTGCTGCGCGAGTGCTGAACGTACCAGAACCGTTCGCTGGATCGCGTTTAGCTGGTTGGCCTCCGTCTTCAGTGTATCTATGATACAATCTGCGCCATGTGCACAGTGTTCCTTGGAGTAGACTTGTGTTATCTGTAGCGCGTGTTAAGCTCTAGTAGGAAGCGTTGTATACTAAAATCTGATTTGGACGATGTCTTCATTTCTGCAAAAACTTAGTCTGTATTTCATGGTCAGAAAAGGCCGAGACGGTAAACTTACATTAAAGCCGGTAACGTTACTCTAGGCTTCACACGGGGACGTGTGAATTGTCAGGAAAGGCCGTGTTAGGAATGAGTAAAATAATAAAAGAAAATAAGAAAAATTGAAGATGGCAACACGGCTGTGCAGCCATTGGTAGATCGGTCCGTGTCCGTGTATTGCTTCAGAGTAAATTCTAATACGAGTAACATTATTTTATTTAAATCATTTTGAGAATAGTTTCTAACATCAGAAGTGGAATAGTTTCTAAAAATACTATAATATATCTATGGCAAAAACAAAACGTTTTTAAATATTTTTATGTATTTTGTCTATGGCATTAGAAAATGAAGGTTATTTTTTTGTAATAAATAGCCTTCAGTATCAAAAAAAACTCATAATATTGAAACAATGAGGCGAATCTGTAGAGATTAATAATGAATAAAATAAATCTAAAAAAATGGATTGAATAGGCTGTTATTAAACTAAGTAAAATATTTGAATAATATTAGACACGATTGAATAGGCTGTATGGTCGTTGATCATTGCCTGTTTTGAAGGAGACTTGGTAACTTCGAGACCGTAGATAGAGCATAGACATAGCATTAGAGGTAAGATACTATGTCTATGTTCGAGACAGAACACAATTAAGCTGAGAACAAATTATCGGACGCGTCCGTCAGCCGCGGCTGACAGTCGCGGCTTAGCGGTGTGCACGGTAGTTAAGACGGCGTCTTCGGACGCCTCACTTCAGTCATTCTATAAAGGTGTTTCAATCGAGAAACATGACAAACAGCGACAGCGAGGACGAATTTATAGAGTTAGCGGCAGCTGCCTTATGTTGTCCTCCAAAAAAAAAAGTGAAAAGGAGTGTTTGGGTCCATGATATTAATGTAAAACGACTCGAGTATGGTGAATTTCATACATTGTATCCAGACTTACAAAAAGATGATAAACGTTACAAAATGTACTTAAGAATGAATGAAAACCAATTTGATTTTCTTCTTAGTCTGATTGAAAATGATATCGAAAAACAAATGACACAGTTTCGGAAACCGATATCTGCAAAGGAGCGTCTAGTGGTGACTTTGAGGTTAGGTATATACCCAAATAATACAACGAATGTGCTCATTTTAATTTGCTCATTTATTATATTTATATATTTGTTATTATAAAAACCTTTCAGCTGCGGATGTCTAACATTTGGACACGAAAATATCTCCGTTGACTGAGCGTGTCCAAGTGTTAGTCATTTTTTACCCGCTTTTTTAATGAAGAAACAAAGCATTATGCACTATATCTAACTCATTGTACCATATGTCGATGTGTATAGGATAAAAATGGATAGCACAAAAATCCCCCAGCTCACACACTTTAGTAGAATTTTTTATCAATATCATGTCTTTATTTCGTCTGTCCCTTGAGTCACCAATCAGTGTGATTGACGCGCGCTAACATGGCAGTTGTTTGCAATTATTTCGTACAGATTTTGATTTATTATAATATAGCCAATTGTATATGTAATATGTAACCTTCCTATTTGTAACCTCATTTTGTGATTTATCTCATTTAGTACGTGTGAAATGGTTTTTTAATTTGTGTGAAAGCAAACCGCTATCTTAGAACTAAATTGCAGGTTGCGGAAAGTTGACTTGAAATGTATGTAAAATATTAGTATTTACTGTCAGTTTTCTGTTGAAATATGTATAATTGTTCATCATTCACAGTTTAATATATCAAAATGAGGATAAAGTGCAATAATATCAATGTAACTACTCAATAGGTGCAATGCTGTCCATTTCTGAGACGCCCGCAGTAGAGGATTCTAGTTCTCTGTTTTGCCGGTGGCGAAAAAAGGAACTAAATTTTGCCATACTGCATAAAGTTCAAATTCGGATGAATTGTTAGATTGGAAAAGAAACTAGCGCCCTCGAGCAGACAAATGGTTTGACTCCATGATCATTCGATGATTTATGAAAAACTAGATGTGGCATTTGGATGTGCCATGTGTGTTAACACAGGGCTTCGGAATTTTTTAAACAATTTACTAAAAAAGAAAAGTAGAAAGTATTTACATATATTTTTGTTTCAATATTTAAAATTTTTATTTATTTTTTATAATTAATATAAACAGTTTGTTATATTTTAGTCACCTCAGAAACATATTTTTAGCGTTTTTTTTTAATGGACATTTTATTTGTATATAATTTGCAAAATTCGTAAATCAAAAAGCATTAAAAAAAATTAAGGTTTTTTGATAATCAAATATTCAAGAAGTGATTTTGCTGGGCCTTCATATATCTTACTGCTGCTTTTCTGCCTCATATCGATGGATGCTGTCTCGTCTACTTCATATAATTCTACTGAAGATGGCACGGAGAGCTCAATAACAGAATTTTGCGTTGGCTTCAGCAATGATCGAGAGTTTAATTGCGTGGAGGGCATTTGTGTAGTAGATAGCTGGATTATGTTAGAGGACAGAGGCAATGAAAACTGTTGAGTGGGAAGTAATTTATGGGTGCTCCGAGCAGTTGATGAAGGCGGCTGTACAGATGAAGATGAAGCAGATTGTCGAGTGAAAGAAGGTGATGGGAGAGCGTTCTGAGGTGAGGATAAAGACTGCTGTACAGACGAAAGCGAGGCAGAATGTCGAGTGAAAGAAGGTGGTGGGAGAGCGTCCTGAGGTGAGGATAAAGATTGCTGTACAGAAGAAGGCGAGGCAGATGATCGAGTGAAAGAAAATGATTGGAGGGTGTTCTGAGGTAAGGATGAAGACTGTTCTACGGATGAAGGTGAGGCAGACTGTCGAATAAATAGAGGTGACTGGTGGGTGTTCTGTAGTGAGGGTGAAGACTGCAGGACGTAAGAAGGTGAGGCAGATTTTCTAGTGAAAGGAGGCGATTGGTAAGTGTTCTGGGGAGACGGTAAAAACTGTGAGACATGCACAGGAGAGGAAACTTGTTGAGTGAGAGGAGAAGGTGATCGTTGGGTACTCTGAGGTGAGAACGAAGGTTGACGTAAGTACGAAGGCGAGGTAGATTGTTCTCTTATGTAAGGAGAAGACTTGCGGCGCATGAACGGTTGAGGTGATGGTGCAGATATCTCTGACATGCTACTTGAAGAAGCAGAATATTCTGTCAGAGAATCGAGCCACCTCATTTCTTTTTCATGGACCAGTTTCATGATATCAAATTTTAATTTAACTTGTTCTATTCTAGGTAACTTCTTGACTGTTTTAGCCATTGATTCAAAGAATAAGTCAATGTCATCTTTTTCTGATTTACTCTGACTTCTTGCTTTCATCACATTTAATATCTGTTCCTGATAATTATTGCTATTTTTCCGTTTCCTCTGCGGTGTGTTATCTTCGTTCGATTCTTCATTTATTGTATTTGAATTTTGGTTTTCTTCGCTCTCACCGAAATTAGATACAGTGTTCCTATGTGTCATAAAAGGTAATAAAAATGACATCTCCTCTTCAAATTTCCACTTCTTCAAGTTTTTTACGCCTTGCCCTGTCATTGTTTTTCGCCTGCTTACAGCATGTACGAATGCATTTCGTAACAAGTTCCATTTTGCCTTGCATATCGAAGCTAAAATAAAAAAAAGACGAATTATTATCTTAATTAAAAGGTTTATCTGTACTTATATTATAAATGCGCTTAAACATAACGGTACTATTTTTATTTTCAGGCTTTTAGCCACAGGAGAATCATTTAGATCGCTAGGATTTAGATACAGGGTAGGATTCAGCACAATAAAAGCTATCGTTCTGGATGTAACTATTGCTATTTGGAAAAATCTAAAAGATATTTTTATGCCAAAACCGACTAAAGAAAAGTGGAAACAAATTGCGAAAACGTACAGTGACAAATGGCAGTTTCCTAATTGTGTGGGAAGCTTGGATGGGAAGCATGTTATGCTGTTTTGCCCAAATAATGCGGGAACGTCATTCTATAATTACAAAGGCCGACATTCTGTCGTTCTTTTAGCATTAGTTGACGCTAACTACAAATTCATTGCAGTTGATGTTGGGGCCTTCGGACGTAACAGTGACGGTGGTGTGTTTGCTGAGTCAAAACTGGGAACTTCATTGGCGACTAACACTGCAGATATACCAGCAGATACACTATTGGAAAATGGTGGTGAGCCCATGCCACATGTCATTATAGGAGACCAAGCGTTTCCATTAAAACCATATTTAATGAGACCATACAGTAAAGAAGCTGTTTCTAATAACGCAAATAAAAAGAATTTCAATTATAGATTATCACGTGCAAGGAGGACAGTTGAAAACGCATTTGGCATTTTGTCAGCAAGATGGCGGATATTTCATACAGATATTGAAGTACAACCAGAAATTGTCGATAACATCGTTTTATGCTGTTGTTGCTTACACAACATGCTACGGAACGACGAAGATGACAACATCTTTTTGCAAGATCTACCAAATGGTGTACCAGATAACTTTATAGCATTTGAAGGTATTCGTAATAATTCTACCCGAGCAGCATTTGTTATTCGAGACAAGTTTTGTGATTACTTTAGTTCCGAAAATGGAAGTTTGCCTTGGGAAAATCAATAAATAAATATAAAATATAGTTAATACAATTTTATTATTTTTGTGCCTGATCTGCCTGATTGCAATAATAATTACCTAGTACCTAAACAGTTCCATCTGCACCTAGATAAAGTTAGGTATAGTCTAGTTATATTATATAGTAAGAATAGTTGGTAAGTGTAGCGACACACTTGTGTTCGACATCAACTTTTGTATGGAAGAACAAAATTTATTTTTCCTTGTTCAACCTATGTTTTTATTTTAAATATACACTTTTTATTAGTTCATCTAATTGATGACAACTCTTTACGGTAGAAGAACTGAGTTGCGAGACTTACTCTTTTTAAAAGTTATGTTTTTAATGACTTTCTTTAACATAAGCAATCGTGTATAGTTGGTTTTTATGGCACTAATACCCACAATTGTGTCTAGCGGTGGCGGCGTAACTCGTCTTGAACGCGAGCGAATACCTACTAGGCTAGCAAGACCATCAAGACCTAATAAGTAATAATATTATCGACAGATAAGATGACGTGAGCGAGCATGTGCGCTGGCCGACGCCGTGACTAACAACGCGGGTTTCACCTTCACGAATTTAACAGTGGTAGAGCCAGGCGGCAGCTTTTGCTGTCGCACGGATGGGCCGGCTCGAACCAGGGTGGTATCACGACCTCACAGAATACCAGCGTAGAGGTTTACCTCTGCGTTTCGCTTGGTGAGTGCAGGTGGCCGGAGGCCCTTTTTACTGGAAATGAGGCATTCCATCTTAGTCCTCACGGGTGACAACGCATCTGCATTTGGATTTGTAATAGAGAATAGATGTAGATGTCTATGGGCCGCAGTAACCACTTACCATCAGGTGGACTGTGTGCTCGTTTGTCACCCTTATCCTATAAAAAAAGAGCTTAGCTCACCACTTTTTGATTGAAATGGTTACTCTGCTACAAGCTCTGTAGCCGAAAATATAAATGTATCTATGGCTGTTGTGAAATAAAAACATAACCTAGAACCTAGATTATTATTTATTACATATTCATAAAATTAAGAAAAGAACAAGTTTCAAAGTTCATTTTACATCAATAGGTATTATTTTAAAAGGGAATGTTTCAAATCATTTTCAAATTAAATAGTATGTTTTGTTTAACTTTTCTACTTTTCTTTCTTTCTTTACTAGCCAGTGAATATTTAGTTTATGGTGATTTATTAGAGTTGTTTCACTTTATGAAGATGTTTGACGAATAATAATGGGTTAATGAAAACGGTGTGTTCTAATGGCGCCTCTTCACGTTGGCCAACACAGTGGCGAATGTGTTGGCAGAGTTATTGGCCAAGAAATTGTGATCGCGTCCACACGTTGGAAGGTCGTTCAGTTTGCTTCGGTTCAGGCCAATGTGCGGACGAATTTATTAAAATGATTATTAATGCGCTAACGGCTGCTGCACTTTATTTATTCACAGCATACCATTATTTTTTTATTTAATGTTCACTATTTTTTATATCTAATATTTTAAATATTTCTTTATTATACACTAACGTTATACATATAAGTGAACTATATAAACATTAACACACCTAGGCATAGGTATAATTAACACTTACAACTAAGGCCTGGAAAATATTCGAAGCCTGTCTATGAAACTGTTGTCAAATTTTATTAAACAAAACCTTTTTAAAAAGGGTTATTCTTATTATATAATTATAGAATAAAACTTAATAATAATAATAATAATAAATAACTTATTTCGTCAAACATTAAAGTTACATTATATGATCAGTGATCGAGGTCACCTAGTAAGCAAAATAACGCCTCTAATAGGTGACTTCGCTCTTCCATAGTTAAAAATTACAGTATTATTAACGAAATAAAGTAACTAATAGGGAATAATAAAGACAGTAAAAACATGATTTTAGTATCGTACTTTTTAATTTGATTTTAATATATATTATATATTATAGATTTTAAGATATTTAATAAATCAATTAATACATCAATAAATAAATTCATACACAATTATTTTGTTAAAACATTTAAGTACACGTAATTTAAATTAAATGTGTAACAATCGCGAAAATATAAGGAAAATCATAAATAGCTCTTACCTGTGGTGTTTAATTCAGCAGCAATTTGCTCCCACACTTCTTGTTTTAAAGTTGCATTTTTATAGTGCTGCAGTTTGTAGTTATAAAGGCATTCATGGCCACGAACACATTCAATCAAATTTTCTTCGTCTGACATGTCGCGAGCGCGGTCGGTTCGTTTGTGACACTCGAAATGTCCGCGGACGCGTCCCGTGCCCTGTGCACACCGTCCGAGGACGCACAAATATCCAGCCGGCTAGATTCTGTTCGGACGTCCGAACGCTCAAGGATGACCCAAGGGCACGTCCGCGTCTTACGACCGATAGTTTGCACAGTGTAGTATTAAATGTACTGGCTAGATTCAAATAAGCCGCGTCTTTCAGCCGCGGCTGACGGACGCGTCCGATAATTTGTTCTCAGCTTACTCTTTATCAAGAGAAGAACGCCAACTTCATACTAAAAAACGGAAACACGTGTTTATGTGTGTATACGAAAAGCGCTACTGTGGATAACTTTTTTAGCGGGAATTTCAAACCTTTGTATTCTGTAACTTTAAACTTGTTATTTAAGGCTTATTCGAGTAATTTTTGCTCAAGCCTCACAAACCTATGGGGTAAATTCCCATATATTTGAGAGGTTGCACAAAAATTACTCGAATATAATTTAGATTACTATGTGGGATAAAATAAAACTATAAATAAGTATAGTTATGTAATTTTATTTTCTGGAAGACAGATTGTTTTATAAACTACACATTATTATTGATGTTTTTTATTGCTTTTGCACGTAATATTTCCACGCACGTTACTAACATATAACACATGTTATTGTCAGAGAGTTATTCTTCACAGAACATTAACGTAAATTTAAATCAGCAAAATTCTCATGATGAAAACTTTACTCAGCCCAAATACGTGATCTGAAACAGATACAATTTGAGTCAATATAGTAATAAATCCTACAAATAACGGCTAATAAATTCGAAATGTTTATAGCCTTACCACAATATTGTCATAAGTTTTTCTTTGCCTATCATAGGAAACTTGCAAAAAGTGATCAGATGATTTTGTGGTTTTTATTTACACAACACTTAACTTACTTTCGATGATGATCACAAATCGTGCATAAAACTTTGAAATAATGAATTCATTTATAGTCAATATTTTATACAGAATTAACATCTCACAAAAAATCTTTACTGTATATTCACGACGATATTATGACTGTCTTCTATGATGACTGTATATTTGCGTACATACGAAAATGAAGTCCATCTAACTGAATTTAAGCAAAAATGAATAATAAATATTAAAAAACTAAACCTATGAAATAAATTTCAGAAAATATTTTCAATATGAAAGACGTTGACAAACAAATGTAATTTTTTCTTCTTCTATTAATTCATGGCTTTTTTTGATAAAATTCTGCTAATATTTAATAATTTTATTTAAATCAATTAATAGCTAAACTAATTGTGCGAATCTCAGAGTAATATGTATGTAATTATACTTTAAAGAGCAAACCAATAAAAGTTTAACACCGAATTAACATTTTTATTTTCTTCCCATTCTCTACGTTCCCATATAATATGAATTTGTTTATCTAATTTTTAAAATGGCAATCTAAAACAAAATTAAAGAAAGAGACAGCGATATTTTATCTCGCTTTATTTTAACATGCCCAACACGCATTTTGACAGAATCATGATTGTGTGCAGATTTTTCAGCTTTCATACAAAGTTGCCTCACCCTGCCCCTGGGTTTTCTGTCGATTTATAGGACAGTAAGTTGTTGCGCCCACATAACGATAATGATTAATAATGCGTTACTTGGGTTTTGAGAGGAATAGAACATTGAAAATGTACAGCCTCAAGATGCTTTTCTAGATGACATTTTATTAATAATTGCAGAAAATAATTAAACAATTAGAAAAGTTTGACTTGTAATTTATTTTATTTTATATAACTAAAAAACGGCATCCTTTTGTGTTCTTTTCAATTTATTGAAACAACTTATCACCAAGAACGAGTGATTTTACTACATAACCTACAAATAATAAAACAAAATAAAAACAACACCCCAGATCCTACAAAAATATGAATTTTTGTCATAAGTAACAAATGTTTAAATCTTCAAATTAAGATATATTTGAACTTTGTTCACGCCGGGCCCAAGCTTGTATGGAATGAAGTTCATCTCCTTTTTGGTTAATCTTCGCAGGTAAACTGGTCTTTTGTACAAATTTAAATATATATATGTGTGCGTGTGTGAGTGCGTGCGTGCGTGTGTTGTGCGTGTGTGCGTGCGTTGTGCGTGCGTGCGTTGTGCGTGCGTGCGTGCGTGAGTGCGTGCGTGCGTGCGTGAGTGCGTGCGTGCGTGCGCGCGCGCGCTTGGGTGTGTGTGTGTGTGTGTGTGTGAAACTTACACTTACGCCTGATTGACTTAAAATTTAGTATAGTTACACATTTCGCAGTGTAGACGCTCACTAAGAACGGATTTTACGATAAACCCATTAAAAAAAAACTTGATATTTTACATCTTGGTTCCGCAATAAAATATTATCGTGCGCCCAGCGAAGCGAGCGGGTATCAGCTAGTAATAGATACTTCCGAAAATTTCACATTGGTGAATGTTGACCCCATACATATCTGTAGATGATAGGAAGAAGCATCATCGTGTGCTGCATTCACCAATGCGCCTGCCCAGCGTGTTAAGTACGAGTTAAGCATTTTAAGCTATGAATGCCACATGGCAAAATTCACTTTCAAACTCCATGATATTTGTAGGCTAACAAGATCTTGACAGCTTGCTGACGAAACCTTCGAAAGTTAGAATGCAACGATATAAATCATAAGACAAAAATAATACAATAAATTATGATGCAATCATTTATTTGATTTATCTTGTGGTAGATTATTTCTTATATTGACAAAAAATTAACAAATTTTTTGGACACATCGAGATTCGAACTGTGGAAGACTTTGTAAAACGTTGTCTAGAATATAATATACGTAGAAATCTTGTCATCCGCGATGTAGCATGTGTCCAACAAGTTACTATACTGTAGAGTATTTTCGATATAGGTAATACTTATTATACTTTATGAAATAGAAAATTGTACAAATTAATACTTACATAGACAATATCTGTTATGCAATAATATGTAAATACTTATAACTTAATTTTTTGCTGCACTTCGTTAACAATTTGAATTAACAAAACTAATGCCCAAATACTCAAACGATACTCAATTTTAAGATGCCGTAAGTCTCGTGCCGTCTATCGCTTTAAATCAAAGTGACTGTGATCTGTATCACCACGAGATTTAACGACATCTTAAAACCGAGTAGCGTTTGAGTATTTTGGCCTAATTGACAAGTGCAACAATACTTAGGTTTTATAAAATCCTTAATTCTATCTTCCGGTAGACTGCTTCATCCTTCGCATCTTTGTGCTTGTGGATTGAGGCCAGAACAGCGTTATGCTAAATGCGAAAATTTTCAAAAGGTCCATACAACAGCAATGAAATAGGTAAAAGTTATAACTGATTATTATGTGTAAATTGCCCTTAAAATGTAATTATTATATTGACTATAAAACCCTACCATTATAAACATTTTTATTACGGTTATTGTACTACTGGTAATTTTGTACAAAAATATTTCGTTAAGTCTGTTTAATCGTACTTCGAATTTTAATATTGCTTTTGTGTAACTATGTTATAAAGGCTATTTAAAAATTGCATTAATATTAAGTAAATAAGACACAGCTGCCAAAATCACATTCCATACTGACAACGATTAACGTTGGATCAATACAAGATATACGAAAAACTACGATTGTTTGAGTGTAATAGTGTTTGATATTTGTAGAAGTAAGTTGAAACTTGTTGGAATTAATGACAATACTATAATAAATGTTCCCGATTGTTCGAATTTCTAAAGATACTACTACATCATCACGTATACAGGTTGTGTTCTGATATACACTGATTACTGTAAGGTGTGACGTCAATTCAGTATACTGTGAAGCCGTTCCTTTTTAGTTTGCTATACTGGTTACTGTTTAAAACGGAACGTAGTCCAGTATACTGTCATCCCAATTTTTGACACTGTTTTCAAAAGAAAATATTTATCATGTACACGTTTTCAATACAACGAGAAAACTTTGATCACGAGATTAAAGTACCGCGAGCACCTTACCTCGAAAGAGTCAGTGCTCACACAGCATAAAAATAGCGGCGATTTATGACGTCATATATTTCCTTAGGGTACTGCGGCAGTATACTGGCAGTCCATAACGGAACGAATTTTTCACCACTGAGAGAACTGAGCAGTGCTTGCAGTGTATATCGGAACACACCCTATATCTATGGTCATCATCCACACAGTAGTAGTACCACGGTAAGACGGCGTACTAGTATTTAAAGAGGTAAGTGGTAATATTGCTTTGAGTATTGACACAAGAGTGCAAGTAAAATTAATTCAATTCATAATAATATTGTCAATATGTTTCAATGCGCTCAAAGCTTCTTCAAATATTAAACATCCATCTGCAAGATACATAATTTTAATACAATATTTATATCAGAATAGCGTCTCTTTGGCATCACTTTCGCCAAGTATTGCGATGTCACTGCTTTAATCGTAGCTATGTCAAGATTAGAAGTCGTCCGGTATTTTTTCGATGCCGATCAATTCGTCGAAGAGTGAATGGTTTTCCGGGATGACGTGGGGCTCGTGGAGAATTTGACGTGCGTACTTCAAGACCGCTCGCGTTAACTGTCCCACTGTCCACTTCCTGTCCACAAGTACTCTTACTAGAGTATCCAGCTGTGTAGGAGAAACATTATTGAGAATTTGGAATGAAATTGTAATTGTCATATAATAGCGAATGTCACTTGGATCAGGAATAAGAAGAAGGAATTTAAGGCCGGCCACATATATACGGAATTCCATTTCGGAATTCCGAACGGGTCGGCCACACACATACGGAATCCCGTTTTGCCCGCAAAATTTCGAACGGTAAACTACAGAACGTGTGTGACGGGTCATATATTTTATATGAACTTGCTGCGTTCGGAATGCCGAATCGGAATTCCGAAACGGAATCCGGAAACGGAACTCTGTATGTATGTGGCGGGCCTAATTTCATAAAGAATTAATAAATTTATCAAATGAAGTAATGATTAAAATACATCATGCTAAAAAATCCGTAAGACATGCGCACGTTACAAGTAAAACTTAAAGTAATTAATATTAAAAACTAGTTAATGTTGTCAGTATTCTTTAAATCAGAAGTTGGTGGGAGACTATTGGGATGGGAGATTTATATAGAGCTCGGCTCAATATAATCTCCCTACCATGCCCAATCCTAACACGTCCAAGTTGAGGGCACTCAACTTGGACATGTTAGGACGTTGTTGCTTGTTGCTACATTGCAAAAATATGCATTAACTGTTACGTATACATAACTAATTGATATTTCCATAGTCACCACGCTGCACTGGTCATTTGGATCTATCAGAACTCAAATTGTTCATATTTTTTCTAGAAAACAAGGTGACGAACGAGCACACTTTTCACCTGACGGTAATTGGATACTGTCGCTTATAAGATCAGCTTCGATTAAGAAACAAAATTCCAATGTGACTCTTACATGACGTTAGGTTGTAGTGTCAGAGGCACAAGGACATAAATTTTAGCTCCAGTCTTTAATTTACACATACCTTAAACAGTTTCTCATTTCCGAATGTGTAGTAAATTAAGGCGGGTACTCCTGCTACGCTTGCTGCCAGCCATTGAAGCAAGAGTTTAAGTTGTGGATGACCTCGCTGCCTTTGGCCGCAACCCCAATTGCCAGTCGCAACCGGCCTACATGAGCCGCCCGTAACAATTTTGTGGGCCAGTTGATTCAACTGGAAATATTATACTTGTTCAATGTAAATCGACTATGGTCATATAATATTGGTTTGTCAAGACAGGGTTATGCAATTGGCCGTATATATATTTAAAAAATCGAACATGAAACTGGTTACGTACTTTTAATCTGCTCTTTGATGTTGAATATTACGGATGTTGGTATTTGGGTCGGTCACATGTTTTTAGAAGAGGATATTTATGTTTATTATTTGTTTCCAAACACTTGAGCATCGATAACAGAGTTTTATGATGTTAGCCAACTTATTAATTTAAACTACAAATGATCGTCCATTTATAACGGCTCATGATTATTTATTATTGTATAATGTATTATTGCTATCATGAAGTATTAAAAAATGAAATAGGCGCAGTAAGTTAAAAAAAAAAACTGAATACTATACATGGGCCACATATATGGATAATCAAAAATGTAAAGACATCAAGCAAATGACAAAACACACACCTTTCAGAAATTACACTTAGTTATACCTAGCGAAGAGGTTAATATGTTCGTAACGTGTAGGATTGTCTTAGGCTTTGGATTAACCGATTAAAAGCTAACCTAAGAAACTAGAATAATACCCAGCTTTTAACTATGACTATGAGTTAACTTTTTAACAATGTTCTTTAGAATAATAATTAGTTAGATTATTTCGAGATAATCGTAAATATATGTACTGACAATCCTTGTTACAAATTATAAACCCAATATAGAAGGCAAGCCTATTCAAGTGAGCTTTCCACATAATAGTGCTAGTTAGTATTAAGAAAAACACGTTATAAGTTCATTAGCTACAGACAGACGCGTTGCTAACCTTCGGTCTCTTTATAGCAACAGTAACGGGTTCGCATTCGACTGTCTCTTCGATAGTCTCTACTATCATGTTTACTACCCAATTAAGTTTTTTCTTTTTAACATTAGGGTTAGATAACTGCGTTGAACATGTCTCTGTGGAAGATCCGTGTGATTTGGATTCATTCGAGTCAGTACATTTGTCGCCATTTGCGTTTTCTTCCCGCATGCTCTCTAATATTTCTTCTGGTATTGACTGTCTTATTTTATGCCTCTGTCAAAATATAGTAAAAAATGAATTGGATTTCATTAAACTTGGCGAACTTTATGTTCTTACGTGTGCAATGAAGGGGAGTTTATACTCGCATATATATATATATTGGATTTTTTATACGTTTATTAGAGTATACTCAATATGCATAAAATAACAGTATGCAGTATTGGTAGGCGTCTGCTAATTCGTTTACAATACACCGCAAAAGCTTTTATTTACATCATATAAAATCTATAACATATTATATACATAAACATTAGTTGTAAACACCTATATACAATCCTTTGTAAGCGTACTTATATGAATTATAAGAAACACGTTCCATGTGTTTTATGTTTATGTAATGTAAGCCTTTTATTAATTAGTATACAAGAGCTTTGATTAGTATATCTTTGATTATATTCTACCAGCGGATTCTTAAACTTCCGAATTCTTATGCAATTACATATAACATTCAAAGAAAAAAAATACAGAACTAGTGTTTGTTAATGAAAGAGATAACCTAGGGGGTGATTCAGCAGTGGACATGTGGAGTTGGAGGCCGTCAAGGAAAGCGTGCTTTGTATTCCGGCGCGCCTTGCTTAAGAAAGAATAGGAAGCCGGCGTTTGTGTGGCTGTGATTGTCTGTAAAAGCGCTTCTGTGGTTCTGCCTATATGCGACGAAGGTGGAACACGGTAACACGTGTTAGTCGAGGCAAGTCCAGTATACACCGCGTGTATTATGCGTAGGTTTTTCTCCATGAAAAAAATAAACGTGATCAGCAGAGGAAACCCTTTGTTTAACTTTAATGAAATAAGCACAGTCGCATAGAATAAAAAGATGTGGTCGCGATTTGGTCTGCTCTTACTTTCAATTTACCAATACGTGGCTCATTGAATATGACCCACTACGAAAACTGCAACATGACAGATTAATAAACGCTTACTGTTCACGAGCTGAAGTGAAAATGGTCTGGCCATACGAGGAACCGACAACTGATGGGAAAGAAAGGTCTCCAATTGGCAGCCTCTTACCGTTATAAGCTGAGTGTAGGGCACCCCTCTCCCCCACTGGATGGATTAACGACCTTGTAAGATATACAGGTAGCTCAGAACCGTGTTTTGAGGAATACCCTTGTGGAAGACCTATGTTCAACAGTAGACTTTTTGAAAAGTTGTGAAGGGCTGTTATGATTTCAGAATAAAGGTGGCTATGACAACGACATCCAAAACGAAAGTTAATAAACAGTACACTTATGCATTCATATTCATATAATTTATTGTATCCATAATGTTACAGTTAAGGTGTTGAGTACATTTTAAGTTTTAACTTAAAAAGTTGCATTCGTCGTTAAACGTCTGTGAAGCAATTTTGGTAATTAGTTCTTGCAATTCACGAAGTCGAGCGGCTTTACTTGTGGTAAACACGTATCTGTATACGTGTCAGTGTGTGCCTGAGACCAAAATCGGGTATGGTTAGGGTCGGCACGCTCGCAACTTATCGCTCCGCATACTATCGCAACGTTCCGTGTACATGCAACCACGAGTTATGCCCGCTTGACTTGGTGAATTGCAAGAACTATAATTTAGTTAGTGCTTGTGATAGTTACCAAATGTGCGGCGAGGCGGTGGCGATGTCGCGCGAGCTCGAGCGACAGCGAGCGGGCGGCGAGCGCGAGGCGGCGCGGCGTGCCGCGCTCGCGGCCTTCCCGCCCGTACAGCTCCGCCGCCTCCACGCCGCCGCCGCCGCTCGCCATCGACTCGCTTAGCGTGCGTTTCAGCAGCGAGCCCGCGAATCTGGGTATTATATGCTTTTTAATCTATGTAAATATTATAAAAAAACAAAAGTAGAGTTTTGGCGGGAAATTGACCGGCGGCGGTTTGCTGCTCCTGTATTATTGTTTAAATAATGGTTTGAAGTGGACTTTGATATGTAAAAGTGTTGCGATTTTGTGTATTAAGTGTCTACGCATGTGAACTATTAGTGGAAACAGTGAAACAAGTGCTCTGATGGTGATGGATTCTCAAGATAAGCTGTTTGTTTGCATAGGCACCTTTAGATACCATCGCCAACTATCAGCTGTCTGCTGGATCAAGTTGCCGCCAAAATCTCCCAAGAACTGCACAATGTGACGCATCAACATATTGTGAAGCAGTATACTATGAAGGAGTGGGAAAATTACAATAAACCGAATAAAAATACTTAAGACTTGGCCTAAAGGTCTAGATACCAGGCCATAAACTCCAAAAAAAAAAAGTATCCGTCTGTTATATCTGGGTTTAATCACATTCTTATTCTATGTTATTACCCGTGCGGTCAAAGAATGGGATTAGAAATGGCATCGCCTCTATTTACCTCCCGTTCGCACACTGCTGCTATCTATACTCTCACCCCCTGGTAAAGACTGAAAAAAAATACGTTGGGAATTGCGATATACCTACTTTCTATTCCTTCAGTCTGTCTGTTTTGACGGCCTCGTTGGTCTAGTGGTTGTAGTAGTGCGATTGCTGATCATGAGGTCCCGGGTTCGAATCCCGAATCGGTCCAAAAATCAGTTATTGAGTTTTTCCATCAAGAAATTCTCAGTAGCTGCCCGGAGTCAGGAAGTTGGCGGTGTCTCACCCCCGTGTCTCGGAAAGCACGTAAAGCCGTTGTTTCTGCGCCTGATCTCTCTCCGGTCGTGTCGGTTTACCGTCCAATCGGACCATGAGAGTGAGGGAATAGAGAGTGCACCTTTGCTTGCGCATACACTTGGGCACTATAATCCTGTCCTGCGCCGATGGCTAGTTTCCGTTGAGACTGGCCGCCGTGAACGAAATTCAGTCTGGAGGACATTATTATTATTATTAAGTTCAGTCAAACTAGGTATTAGAATCTATGATAACAAAATGCCTTTAACTACAAAAAAATTCCATACGGTTTTGGTAATGTGTGAGCTACGACGCGTTCTGCGAGTTTTCTTCAAATTATTGTTGATTTTGTTTGTTAATATTTTGTATACAATATTTAAATACCATTGAGACATAAGTAACCTTTTTCCATTTATAAAATTTTCCTTTGTCTGTCTGATCGAGCTAATATTCGGAATAGCTAAACCGACTGTAATAAAAAAGTGAACTGAACTAAACTTTAACAAATTTAGATTTTATAAAAATAGATAAGATGAAATAAATGGTCTTATGATTATCTTAAGTCTAAATAACGCCACATTAATAGATCCCACCCGGGATAATTAGCGACCCTTCGCTAATTATAAACCTTATTTTAAAATTAATGTACTTACTTTGGGTATACAATACTTTTCAAATATTTTTCCTATTAATAGAAAATTTCCAATTAACTGAATAATATAATGTAATAACGATATACCGTTATTAGCGGGTTTTCGCTATTGGTACTGTGCATGTTGACGGTACGGGCTCGATGAGTCGCCATTTCTAATCCCATTCTTTATCCGTACGGACTACATAATATAAATAAAATTTAAGTGTCTGTTTGTTATATCGAAATAAGCGCTGGGAGTTATTTGCATGTCATTAAGATTGTTTAGGCCCAAACATGGGCATTTGATACGCCATCCAATCGCGTTAGACTAAGCGAATCGCCCGATGGTGTGAGGGAGGCGCGCGTCGCCGGGGGGGGGGGCAGCGGTATGCGGCTACCCGGCGTTCGTCGCTCGTGCGCGAGACCAGTGGCTTGATAGCAGCGGCGCGGTCGATTAACGTATTTTGTGGTGACCGCTGCAGCGGTTACGCGCGACCAGTTTTGGTTTTGTGGTCTAGATTTTTAGTATTTGTGCGCGTTTTAATTCGCTATGTCATTTGGGGTTTCGTGGAGACCGCCTCGAGTAAGTTTGTCTGAGTTGTACGTTCGTGACAAGAGGCTTGTATTGAATTTGAGTGATTAGAGTAATTTCGTTGCAATTGTACCGTCGCGTTAAGAGCCTTTTGTGTGTTGACTCTGTAGTTAGTTTGCGTGTCAGCTAGGCGGATTTTGAATTCTTATTGCGGCGTAGTATTTAATATCGTACGCAGGAATTTAGTTTGTTGTTTGTAAGGCTGAACTTTGTGACTCGTGAAGAGATCGCGTTAGTTCCCTATTTGTAATTTGGTGATAAATGAATCCGGAACATTGAATATTGAACTTTGAACTACTGTTCGTTACTTATGTCGGGTGTCACGTGTTTGATTTTACGATGAACGTTGAATTAGTTGAGTTTGAAGTTAGTTAAATGTACAATAAAGTTGATAGACTGAAATAATGAAATGAAGAAAGAAGTTGTCATTTGGTGACGCCTGCTGGAGTGATGCAGCATTGTGGGGCAGCATGGGACCAGGCCGCTGCCTGATCACCTCAGTTAAGTCAGGTCACATATATAAACACTACTACACACCACTTACATGCACCTACACCTACCTACGGCCTGACCGAGCCTTGGGGCGGTCTTAGCATCGGAACCAGGGACGTACTATTCATTTACCTAGCCTTATCTCTATTGTGTAGTTCAATTCTCCATAGGCCGTTGGGCCCCACCCTTAGTTGACCGTCGATGGGATTACTCATGGGCCCTAGTCCCGTCAACCTTTGTTGGGGCAGCTAGGAGCGTGTACAAAGATATTAATCATTTTTAAGTTTTGTCTCTCTGTCTGTCCGGGCTAATTTTCGGAATAGCTGAACCTATTGTGGTGAAACATCAAGAACAGATAGAGAGCAGTGCTTGGAGTGATATAGATCTATATTTTATCCCAAAAAACTTGGATTTTTGTTGAGAAGTCGAAGAATTAATTAAATAAATATCTTTGATGTTTACCTTATATCTAAATGATGCAACATTAATGGATCCCACCCAAGCAGGCTGGGGCGGGTCGCTAGTTTATAATATAACGAACAATCCTTTTGAAATAAATCCATGCTAATTATATACTTGTACTAATATAACTTGCGTTACATAATATATACAAGAAAAATAAATTAAGGATCTACATACCTTATCACAGCTAAATCCCGGGGATCTAATTCGCGAGTTTTATTTTCCTCGGCAGAATTATCGATAATTGGGTCGTTTAACCAATGATTGAATTGCTCGTATACTTCTTCTAATTCTGAACTGTAATAGAAATAATTTTAATAATTAAGCTGCTTCTCCACCGACGAAGCGAGACGAGAATTAAAATCTCACCGGCCAGTTTTCACCAAAAATTGCCATTAATAGCTATCACGAGCTTGCGCGGTATCGCGCATTAATTGCATAATCGCGCATAAACATACAGTTAAGATACAATGCTATTCAGTTCGTCTTGCGATAAACATTGATGACTCGTTTTTTTGGTTATTCTATTAATGTAGATAAACTTAAAATATTAAATTTAATCAATGTAAACAGATGTCTATATGCTCAGCTCAATTGTGCATTCATATCGTAGGCATTCAGAGAGAGGATCCCGAACGCCCAGTTATGCGAACCCAAGGAGGACAATAGTTCGGAAGTGGTCTCGAGTCATTGTGATAGCACTGTTAAGGTACTGTGGGTAGCAGTTTACTGTACTGCTCCCAGGTCACGCTAAATAAGCAAAGCGATGGGGGATTCCGGTTGCGTTCCTTCCTGGAACCCTTCGTCTGTGCTGGCGACAATACCGACGGGATCTTAGACGGTAGTTACGGTATAACTTCTGTTGCCGGAGTTCTCTGTTAGGGGTATCCATAAGGATTTTCTCACGTAAAAATGATCGTGGCTGTTATTACAACGTAACTTTCTTTTTTACGTTTTATCATCAGTTTCATCGTGTAATCTTCATTGATGTAAAATTTCACTGTATAATATTAATAATTGGTTTCACTGTTCTATTACTTTACGAATTAATTAAATAATTAAATAAACGAATTTATTTAAACTTACGTGTATTCTGTGCTGAAACTGTATTTAGAGCTATTGCCAGTTTGTTTCCTCTCTAGCGGTGGACGGCTCATGGATGGATTTCCGTTGTCCACAATTTCTTTGTCGGTCAGTACGAATCCCACGGAACTGCCACGCTTTACTCTATATACATACAAAAGTCTTTAAATATTTGAATAATTCTTAAACTGAACTGAAGATCGGGCATCTTGGCACTCCCAAATGCTAATATGGATTCATAGTAATAACTCTAAAACTTCACTTCAAACAAAGACATTTAAGTATGTAGTAGTAGATATTTAAATTGCTTTGACTTCAAACCACACTTAAAACTTCAGCGATACCGTTACAGTCTATCAAAAGTTTACTGCTGAACATAGGCCCCCATAGATTGCCTCAATGGGGAGAGGGGGGGGGGGGGTTTGTCATAGTTGCCACGCATGGCAGGTGGATTGGGTACTGCAGTTTTTTATTATTTCGTGTTGTTATTTAGAAGGTTGCACATCTCCTGATTTGTTACTTTCTGTTGCTACCTACAACACACGGGACAATACGGGGTAGTGGATATTCTTACACAGACACTACACTTCAGAGATAGGTAAAAGTTTACATAATTCTCAAGGACAGGGCGCCCGCTTAAGTTTTCAATTGTCATAGAACTCAAGTAACTTGTATGCAGATTTTGCATCTGAAATATGCATGTTTGAGAAATAAAAAAATACCGAGCGAAATTGGTGAACGTGTACTGGATCAGTGCAGCTATTTTTACTGTTGTGTTGTGTGCCAAGAATGCGGGGTGAATATAGGTAGGCGTGTGAAAGCTGCTATTTACTTACCTGACTTCGTTACCGTTGGCTTCAGCACAAGGTATACTAACTCCTGCGGCGTAGCTAGAACTGTCTGTAGACCAGTCGCCGGTAGTGCTCGTGGTGCAAGAATTCTCCGCCTCCCTGCGCAATGCCTCACGGAGTCTCTCTGCAAAACTCTGCCTTCTTTCCTCAGTTGATAATTCTTTGGAATATTGGAATGAATATGGACGTGCGCTCTCACCTCGGCCTTCGTCTTCACTGCCACCTGTAAAAAGGAAGTCAAGTAAATGCTGTCATTGGCGTGTATGGGGTGGCTGGGTGCCCCGTGCCACAGGCCCACAAGCTCAATAACAATTGACTGTCACGCGGATGACTACTAGACGTATGGTCGTAAACGCGACCAGACCAGTCGGGCCAGAACCATTTATTAAGTTTTTCTGCCAAGAAATTCTCATTGGCAGCCCAGAGTCAGGAACTTGGTGCTGCTTTACTTCTGGAAGTAGGTACATAAAGCCGTTGATCCTGCGCCTGATCTCTCTCTCTCTTGTCGTGTCGGATTTCCGTCCCATTGGACAATGGGCGCGAGAGAATAGAGACTGCATCCGTTTTTCCGTACACACTCATATACTTTAAATCACGACACCATATCTGCACAAATGGCTAGCATCCGTTGAGACTGACCGTCGAAACGGAAATCGGTCTGCAGGATATATCTATACTTTATTAATATAATAAAGCGAAAAAGTTCCGACTGAGTATTTTTAATGTTTTCTTTTATGTGTTACAGTAGCACGTGTGATGTGATTACAAGTGCGTGAGTGTGTGCCTTGCTGGTCGTAACGGACTGCCAGGTCCAGCTGTAACATGGCCTGGTTTCGGCAGATGCGTATGCGCGTATACGCAGGCGCCATCCCGGAGCGCGCGTATGCTGTACATGGCGATGCCTCGGAAGTCGTGTACTCTGTATGCGTGGGAGTCACACTGTGTGCGCGGAAGTCGTATGCTGTGTGCACGGTAATGTTTTCTGAACATGTATTAGGCTTTGTCCTGGCAGGCGCTGTCCTGGTTCACGTTTTTAATGTGGATCTCGCAAGTTCAAGTAAGAGTATGTGTCAGATACTTCGTATGAAGACCTATGTTTACTTGTGAAAGCGAAGTGCTTTATTATAGTCCAAGGTATGAGAACGTATTTCTGTTTTAGGGCCTCGTAAGTGTGATAGATAAGTGAACAGGCAACTGTGTATGTTGTCCTTATAGTTAACAATTTGTTTTTCACGCAGATCATGATGACTACAACCCCGACGATGCTTTTAAACCCTCAGGTGCTCCTGCTGCTCTCGTTTTGTTGTAATTTGATAGTTCACGCGAAACATGATTATCATTTGCTATATTTTGAAATTCAAAACTTTTAAGGGTTGTACTACAATAAAGGATTAACTTTAACACGCTATGAATTAAAAATAATAAGTGACATTTTTGTGTTCTAATGTGTTGATCACTGTTGCAGTTTGCTCCGAATATTGTGTCGTTGACAAGATTGGGGTTTGATTTCGAGGGATTCGTAGAAGTCTCTACAACAATGATCAATGAGGAAGACGTTGTGATGGCTAATCGAACATGGTCAGGTACGGCCGAGCGCTGGTTAGATTGAGCCTACACCGCTACAGTCGGTTACATATCGGCTGATCTTACGGCACGGCAATTCAAGTGGGCGCCGAACAAATGGTGCTTTGGCGCTGTAAATGGACGGCTTTCGTAGATTTTGCGCAGTTGCCTCCTTCGCTTCGAAATATGTTGTGTTATCTGTCTGTACACATAGTTTCCATTTTTTTTGCAATGTTTTCAAATGTCATACAGTTGCCGTTTCTTAAGAGAATATGTGATGAATTTCGGAAGCTCGGAATTCCATGGTTCGCAATACATTTATCTCGATTTCTTTTAATTTTGCAAAGGAGTGCGACGATTCGCTAGCGCTAGTACGGCGCGACGGCTTGCTGCCGCGAATGTAGCACGATCGCAGCAGAACGAAAAGCTGTAGTGCGTTTGCCTGGAGGTAGCCATATCCGCGCGTTCCAGACTTAAATGAAGTCTGGGATGGTCGACCGTTGTAATATTTAACAAGAGTTTATATCTGTTAGCAAGTGGTGATAACTGATAGACCGTATGCTGTTCACTGTCAACCGCACGAGGACGTGCGACAGTCAGAGGTAGCCGTGTCTGTGCATCTAGAAAATACTACAGACGTTGCAACACTCTAGCGAAGTAATTATTCCAGTGCAGGAAAGGAACATGAAGTTGCAGGGAGGCTGGTCTGTGCTGCACTGGGATATGTGTCGAGTTGCTGTTGGTTTACATACTTAGGTGTTATCGTGTGTCACTACGTCCCTCACGATACACTTTTGTGTGATTGTGACGGGGACATGTTTCCGGTATGGTTGGTCTGTAACTGTTCTATACTGAATTGAAAAAAAAAAGAGAGTAAGAAAAAAAAATGTGGTTCTTACTATCATTGCAGGGCGTTTGCCGGTCCAATGATATAGCTAAAGGGAATAGTGATTCCGGACTAGCGAAAACAGTACTTGAAAAAAAAAGAGAAAATAGAAAAAGCTACAGACTAATCATTCCGATCTAACATAAAGTTGATTAAAGTTTTGTAGGGCTTACTGCCGGAACAAAACTGATTATCACCCGAGTCTGAAGGGTCAGTATAGACCGGACCAGACGCTGTTTTGTCAGGATAATCGAACGATGTTTTACAGATTACAGTTGTAACAGATAACTAAAATTGTATGGAGCGCGTGCGAGGACGCACGCATGTCAGTATGGCCGTGACGGCACCTGCACCGTTGTAGATGCGGTGGCGTTGGTCTAGCTAGGCAGAATTCTTGTAAACGACACGTGTACCGCACACCTGCGGCATTGAACCTGCGATGCCGCCCGTCCTGCTTGTATAAAACGGACTGAGCGGCCGCCGTTAAGACAGTCTTGGCTCTGACGTGGAACGGTACGCTTGTCGTATTCCGTTACTAGTTTATCCTTAACTCGTTGGATAGTTAATTAGAGTAAACGAATTAATTATTATTCCTAACTACAAAATTAGTCTCTGTACTATACGCAATTACCCTTTCTACATATACATATTAAGTGTGAATATATTTATATTTTGTATTAGGTTTTATTTGAAAGAATCACTGTTTTATATTCAAATATGCGTTGTGTATTTCGGATTCTTTCTTATTCAGTTCCATATCAAAAACCGCGACATAGTGCAAGTAAAAAAACTAAGTAAGTAAAAAGTAAGTAAGAGTAATTCTACCCTCTACTTTAACTGGGATTTAGTGTAATTCAAGTAAAAAGCGGTTTCTTATGACGTATGTTGACGCCGAAAAAGATAATTTAGTTTTACATAAAAGAACTCACCGTAATCAAAACTATCGTTGGCACTGTGGTATTCATCGTCACTAGAATTGCAACTAGAGTAGAGACTGTCTTCTTGCGTGTCCAGGTTAATGAGACCCGTACTTCTGGTTACAGGAAGACATTCGCCAGAAGACCCAAGGACGATAAACCTTCCCCGACGATTATTCAAAGTTCCCCCGTCGGGTGATAACCAGCATTTTCGTTTCGTTAGTTCTACACCTGGAAATAACGATGTTCTAGAAAAAATCATAATAACATTGATAGTTTAAGCTTGGCATAAGGTTCTAACACATTTGACAATATTACAATAATATTTTTTTAATCGAGTAATTTTTAACTCAACTCTACTCTTCGCAGCTCGTCCGACTGAGTGTAAAAAGAGAAGTTTATTGTTTAGTAAAACAAAGTGCTCCAGAAAAGATATGTTTCAGTGAAAACACCACAAAAGTTAGAATACCTTCCGAAATAAGCCTAGGTTAGCATACAAACAGAATAAAGAAACTTAATGTAATCAAAGGCTGATCGTGCATAACAGCCAAAATTTCTAATGCCTAAGTTCGATTCTCGCTGGTATTTATATATGGAAATTGTTATTTAACAATTTCGACATGTTCGACGGCATAGAAACGTTTCTGCCTCATAAATTAAAATTAGTTGGAGAAAACGCATTGGGGCAAGTAAGTACTCCATGCTTTAAAACCCTCTCAGAAATGCGTGGTGATAATGACGTTTCATTTTTTTTATTATCATCACAACCTATTAAAATTCCACTTCAACTTCAATTCAATTTTAAAAAGTTATTCGTACTACAAAGCTGATGTTTTCTTCCTCGCACGACTTCCTTGTGGAATCGATTACCATCAGCGATTTTTCCGGACCGATACGACTTAGGGACCTTCAAGAAAAGAGCGTACTCCTTTTTAAAAGGCCGGCAACGCATCTGCAATTCCCTCCCTGGTGTTGCAGTTGTTCATGAGCGGCGGTAGTCACTTACCATCAGGTGAGCCGCATGCTCGTTTGCCCCCTCTCCTATAAAAAAAAAAAAAAAAAAAAAGAGTTAATTATCGTAGAAAGTCAACTTGGCTAACCAGCGGGGTTAGCCATATTATGAAGAGCCGTAAACCATATTGCACGCTTAGTGAATTAATATCGTACAAACATCTTGTAATGTGTAGTGGCGCTGTAAGAATAGCCATTACCACATTTTATCCTGTAGTTTTATGATACTCTGAGGGAAATGAAACAGATGGGAAGCAGCTGCAGCTATTGACTACTTTTGAATGCAAGAAGCATTCAAAAGAAAATGCCTCGGAATAATGTTCGGCGCATCCTGTGAACGCTGAATTGAAAAGGCTGATTACTTTAGCACTATAATTTACAACTTACTTGGATCGTTCAAATTTAGTGTGGCTGCACAATAGGTTTGTGGAGAGGGGCTCCTACTGTTGTAACTGTTTATAGTGCTGCAAGACGAAGCTTGCTTTATCATCACAGTCGCTTCCACTTCCGGCGGAGTGTGGCTAAATGATTCACCTGAGGAAAGCAGCATTGAATATTTTCATTGTTATATAAATAAGAAAATAAGTTTATTGCGGTTTTGTTAAAGATAATATGTAATAAATAAATGTGTGATATAATATTTTTTCCGAGTAAATGAGAAAATAATTTTGGGTAATATAAAAGCTTTACTCAGTTCGATGCTTTAAATCAGGCATAACTAAAATATAGCTCACAGAACACTAAATATAGCTTCAGTATTCGACATTCGGAAAAAACTTTATGAGGTGGCAGTTGCAGAGTCGTCATCTAATTGTTCCGTCAAAAATAGTGTAGGGCGACCACCTTGCGATAAGTTAAAGTTAATATTTTTTTAGAAATTGTTTATAAACATTTAAATTAATATTTAAAATAATTATAAACATTAATTTCAAAGTTTATATAAGTTATAAGAAACTATTAGATTTATAAATAAGTGCTGGTTGAAATTGCAAATTGCAATGGAATCGAGAAGACAAATTTGCTAATGAAAATAATTGCGAGATAAATGCGGCGATTTAACTATTTGTAAAATTTAATATAAAAGGCAAACCAATTGGCGACAATCTTCGTTCTTGTCGTTGTTGACTGTCGCGGCTTTTGATAGGCGACTGCTGGAAGGCGAGGAGGCTTTTATTCAGTTCACGGAGTATGTTGTCTTCTTCCCATTGCCCTAGAGGTAATGCACTGTAGTCTTCGGCGTCCATTAAACATACGGTCACCTAGTAAGTAAATTAAAATTTTTACTTGCTAACATTTTAACGAAATACCTAACCCTTGTTTATTTTTTTAAGTTAAAAGGGACTCCGGTTCTCATCCTCATACAAAACCCAGCGACATTAAGCTGCTATTTTACGCTAGTATTAAGTGAGAGCGTCATACTTCCCTGATCGAGCCGATCGATCCATTCGTGCTGAAATCATAATATAGCTGTAGTCTGACTCCCACGTCTAGCGTAAATGGAATGTTTACACCGCCATTTATTGGAATCCATCGATATATATGTACTACGTACTAGATTTCGCATTCCGAACATACACTATGTTGTGTCATTTAGTGTGATCTCAATATACTAGTTAGTCTGTGGTTTCAATATTCATGCAGTGTGGAGCGACGCTAGTAATACAATATTTTAAATTAAGGTTTAAATCTGGACGTAAATAACAATTCAGTAGTCAAGTAAGCAAAATTATTTGTTGTTCAAGTGAATAAATAAGTAATAATAACTGACCGCGCAGGCGCAACGCGCTTAAATCAACTGCTGCGCCTGCGCGTGCGCGACTTTACTATCTCCCGCGCATGTGCGAAGACATAGAGTAGTACACATTTTTTGTTTAGAAAGGCTTCTCTACTACGTAGTACATATAACTCAATGATTGGAATCCATTAGATCTTTCTTGTATTTCCCACAGTCTTAGTACACCCACACTAAGATTATACATTATTTTATGCCGTCTTCACATGGCACTCTTTATCACTTAATACAAAGTAAAATTGGTGAAAATTCATACTCTTACGTAAACAGAATGGGTTATGAATAAAAATAAATAGATTTTTGCACTCGCATTATAAAATAGAACTTGTCAAATGTAATTATTCTTACTATTTTAGGTTCGTTTAGTAATTCTATATTAGGTTTTTGTTTCTTGTCGCTTATCCGACTGAACAATCTAACTCCTTCCGCTTTCAACACTTCGTTGTCTTCCAATGCCTCCACTGAGAGCATAACGGGCAGTAGTTCCGGCATCATAAACATCGTTAACGATTCCTAAAACATCATCACCTTCTTTTATCATGTAAGATTAGTTTCTGACATAACTTAAAACGTATTTTATAATATTTGGAAAATTTTACGGAAGCTGAACGTTTTTAACTCACTTGTGACTCTCCATCAATAAGAGCATCACCACCAACTCTACTGCTCGCGAAACACACTCTGATCGCCTCATCATTTTCACATCTTTCTGGCCTACCCTCGTGTCTCACCAGAAATTTACACAATGGTAGTGTACATTCTAGCCAATCTTCTATTGTCAACCATTGTTTTGAAGTCATTACCTATAAAGGCAGTGATTATTTTACGAGTAGTTTAACTCTGGTCAGTTGTTATACAGATAAATAAAAATAATTAAGTTAAAATTAAAGATGGAAAATAATGCCAATTTCTAATACAAATTCCGAAAGTATGAGGAAAATATAAGATAATTTACCTGCCTACTTATTTTAACGGATCCTTCATTGCTATGTTTATCCAACCATTCAAAATAATGCAGCAAACTTTTTAATTTGTTTCTTTGTGATTTTCTGAAAGTTTAAATGTAGTGTCAGAAATAACTTTACGAGGTTAACTCACCAGGACAATTTCGAATTACCTGTGTAAATTCTTAAAAAATTGTGTAAAATTGAAGTCTTGTAAAGTTGGATGAGTTTTGAGCGTTCTTTTTGGGAAAGTGGAGAAAAATGCATGTGCAATGAGAGATGACAGAAAATTGTAATCCAGTTCAGTAACGTCACCTGAAAGACAATAAATTTTGTGTTCACACATATTCATTTTGATGGAATGCATTAATATGAGGTTAAAAATTTTACGCACTTTGCTGTTGTAGGCTGAATATAAGTCCTTTAGGGGGGCGCCATCTTTTAAGATGCAATGCCCTGTTCACCATGATTCGAATGGTATTATCTAAGAAATTTCTTCGTTCTTCTTCTGACAGCTCATCTTCAAGGAACTTTTCTAAGCCTTTCATAAGATCAGGGTCTTTGACGTCGTCGTCTGGATCTATGCCAATACTGAATACAAGATTTAAAAAAGTTAAACTTAACTAAAACTAAAGTTAACTATTAAAATATGGAATTCTAATAGCTGTTTACTTATAGAAAAAAGTAGCGCTTTTAAAGTAATTTCAAATTGTATATTGTTATAATGTGTTTTTGTGAAGTTTAATGCATACTTGGAACCTTTGTTTCAAAGTAATTAAGTACTCGTAGCTGATTCAATTATGGATTGAATTTACAGTAAATAAAAAAAAATTGCAAATAAGATTTTTGCATATCCAATCTGAATAAACAAGGATTATATGAAATGCTAGTGACAGTTATGATGATCGACTGATGATGATGGTCATGATGAGATTTACACCAGAACTGTAATAAGTATTTATTACGGGTCTGGTGTAAATTTGAAATTAAAATCTTACGTTGGCGCTTATACAACCAAAGCTTAATATAAAAAATCTCAAACTTTCGATGTCATAAAAAATCCTACCTAAGTATGCTTAAAAGGAAAAGCTGTTAGCAAGGCCAATCATATTAGATTAAGTTGTAAGCAAACATTCAGGGGTACTTAGACCTATTTTATTTCGTTTCTTTTATTTATTAACAATTAATATCAAAATATGCATCTAGTGAGGGTACGTCCTGCAATCCACTTGCCAGTTTGGAACTGACACTATAGAACCTTTCTTCCTCATCAATTGCTGGAAGCTATATTACTTTATTAATCCATCACCAACCCATTGTCACTCCAGCTTACAGATCCGTTGTATTATGTCGGTTATTCTGGTTCCACTGCAGATATCGTTACGAATTCTATCATGTAGAGAAACTCCGAGCATAGCCTTCCCATAGCTCTCTGATTAACCTTAAGCTGCCTCATACGGCCAGCATTATACGGACCACACTTTTCTTTTAAGAGTTTGCAGAATACGTGACGAGAATATATTGAAGATTACAAAATTTTCCAAAGGCTGCCCAGCCGAGTTTGATCTGTCTGACCTATCGGTCGAAGTTGGAATATTACAATATTGAATTAACCATATTGCGATTCTTGGAGTTGTAATTGTTCATGGGCGGCGGTCAACACTTACCATCAGGTGAGCCGCATACTCGTTTGCCCTCTATTTTATAAAAAGAAATACTGGATAACAACTTCTAACGTAGTGCTTCCAAAAACTACCGGTAAATGTGTGACTGTGACGTTGCACATGACGTTTGTCTATGTACATCTTAAGTTCTTAAGATCTATCAGTTGGAAGATACTATTGTCATCGAAGGTGAGTTATGTACTTATTTTACATTGATGTTGATAACTAAAACACGGTGATAACTACCTGTGCTTGTACCCAATATATGTAGTGAAGGCTTGGTAAGACATCCAGAGATTCGATGGACACAGGTGGCTAGGGACCGTGCTTTGGGGAGGCCTATGTTCTGCAGAAGACTTATGAAGGGTTGTAACGATGAATGATGAGGTGATCTAAACTTCAACAAATTTATAACTACCAATACTAATTATCAAATTCTGTGTTAGATATAATACCTAATAGTCCTAACATAGTTCGAATCAATCCCACTATCACAAAACTATCTATGTATTTTTATTAAATCATCAAGACACATCTTAAACGTGGTAGAGCCATGCTGCCGCTGTATTAATTATATACTTAGTTGTAGCACGGATGGGTCGGCTCGACCGGGGAGGACCACGCTCTCACAGAATACCAGCGTAAAACAGCAGCTTAAGGCTGCTGTGTTTCGTATGGTGTGTGTAGAGAATCGGATACTTTTTTACTGGCAAAGAGTCTAAGTCCTAATGCTAACTACTCATCTGCATTTTGATTCGCAATCGAGGATAGATGTATATGTCTATGGGCTACAGCAACCACTTACCATCAGGTGGACTGTGTGCTCTATTGTCAACCTTATCATATAAAAAAAATTGTAAATTAAAATTAGGTACATATAAAAATTTCAGCGCATTTTAGATAAACTTAAATATTTGTATATTTAAGTTTATCTAAAATGCACTAACTACACTAACTGCCTTTAGTATCATGAACAAAGAGTATAAAATTACTACGTGCAATCATAAGAGATTGTAATTAGACATAACCTAACACAATAAAGGTTTTTTTTTAAAATAAATAAGATGCAAATATTTCACCTGATTTTAACTGTAGCTCATAGACGTCTACATCTATCGTACATAAACGCTCCTCGTATATAAATGCTCAGCGTATTTTCATTATATCACGTCTTGATGGCTTTATTTATTAGGGAATTTTAAGGTATACGCAAACTTCAGCTATACAGAATACCAGTTAACGCATTCTGGTTGCTAACGAATAATCTACCTTTACACACTATCAGTCAAAAAGGAGTGATAGATTTTTACATCGATTTGTCAAGATCAATCTGTAGTAAATTATGTAATAACGTAACGAAATCGGGTACTTACTTGCACATGTCATGAATTTTCATCATGCTTGCGGTGAGTTTTACTGGCGATGAAGCCAAAAGAAGATGCTTTAAGTGTCGTTGTACGGATGTCCACCAAGGGAGGTCACATGGTAGCATTACGAGCGCCATTCTATAAAATAAATGTATTAATGAATATCAGGGAAATAATAGTATGGACATTTTTAAAGGTTGCGGTGCGATCAACTTGGCGCAAATTTCTTATAACCTGCCGGGAATTAGTTTGAACTTAAATTGAACGATTAAAAACTCATTATACAGGCTGTTTGGCCCAAACATCCTTTATAGTATCACAAATATTATGGGCAAATGTGTAAGTTATTTCATACAGGCTGCATATAGTACCAATGCTGGATCTCATCCAATTACAAAAACATATGAGACATTTGATCGTCAGCTGAACAAGAAGTGGAAAGTGTTAGTAACAAAAGTGTTAAGCTTAAGTTAAGTGATTTCATAATGCATTCTTAAATAAATAATTATCCGTCAATAATTGTTCTCAGTTAGTTTTCTTTTAAAATTCAATGGAAAAGACTATCTAAATAAAGCATTACAAACAAACCAAAATAATAAAACAGAGATGCGTTTACTACTTTGTGTTAGTACGATTATACAAAATGTAAGACGTAGACGCTTTTAGCCTACGATCATCGACCAACACGAGTTAAGCAGTCAGAGCCGAGATTCGGACGCCCCTGTCCGCACGTCGTTTAGTTAACTCTAGACTTCCATAATCATTATCAATTTCTTTCATATTATATCGTTACATTAGAACTTTTAGTACTTTTGTGAACGCAGCCATTTACGTGCGCCAAGTAATGACGTTTGACTGACTTTGACTTTTACATAATGACAATGACATATCTAAATAGTTTGCGCTTTGAGCCTGTAGCCTGTGAAATGTATTGTGTTTTCGTGTTTTCATAATAATATTTACATATGATTCTTTATATAAAATGTTATTTTAGGTGTTAAAAGATATAAAATATGAAATGTTAAGATATATGTGTGACATATGCTAAGTAATGTAATTTATGATTTTTGATAAAGTTTTACTTCTAATTTGTATTACCACATGATAAAAATTGTGTTTATTAAATGGTATATATCAAACTATCGTATAAATCTCACTGATCTTTCGAAATAAGTATTATGCTAGTGTACCTTGATTTTGTGACGCAATGCGAATGTGTTATCTGTTCGCCGATGCAAAGTCTAAAGTACATCTGAGCAAGCAAAGGTCAAGTTTATTTGGAAAAATTGCTTAACTCTGAGACCAATGGCTGTAAAGACAAAATTATTGAAAGCTTTGATACTTGGGGCTCCAGCATCCGGAAAAGGGACTATATCGTCTCGCATTGTAAAGAAATACAATGTCGAACATTTGTCTAGTGGCGACAAATTAAGAGATCATATAGAAAAACAAAGCGACCTTGGTAAACAGGTAAAACAATATTTGAATGAAGGGAAACTGGTGCCCGATGATGTTATAATTAATTTTATGGTAACCGAATTGAAGAAGATCAATCATAAACCTTGGTTATTGGATGGATTCCCTAGAACAGTGACACAAGCAATAGCGTTATGGAAAGTACAGCCAGTAAATGTAGTTTTAAATTTGGTAGTGCCATATGAAGTTATAATAGAGCGAGTAAAGAATCGTTGGGTGCATTTGCCTTCAGGAAGAGTATACAATATTGGTTTTAATACACCTAAAATTATAGGGAAAGATGATATAACAGGTGAGGAGTTAATCCAACGACCAGATGACAAACCTGAAGCTGTTCAAAAGCGATTAGAAATATATAAGAGTGTAACCCAACCTGTTATTGATTTTTATGCTGGTAAAGGTATATTAAAAAATTTTGAAGGCCACACATCTGATGAAATATGGCCTAAGGTGACTTCATATTTGGATCCTTTATTTAAAGTCAATAATTAGTTGTAAGGGTTTTAAGTTAAGGTCACACATTTTAGGTTCAATAATGTATTATATAGTGCCTTTTTAGTGTAGTATATAGTTATTTTAGATTAGTTGTGGTATTTTGTGTTCCAATAAAACAGGTTAGAAAAATAAGTCTCAAAAATGTCACCGGATTGTAATTTAATCAATAGTAAGTCAAAGCGCAAAATGTCTTCCAATCATAACATAACTATAGGTGTCATACAATTTCATTCCCTTATTAAATCTAGTCATTGGTAATGTTTTATTTTTCCTATCAGAATTTATGTATGCACTTGATTTCGTACACAATTTTTTATTTATATTTTTTACAATTTTATAATTATTATATATATTACAAACATATGTTTTTCAATCTGTTCCTTGTTCAAAACTTTATCAATCTGTAAAATAATGCGGTTTTAAAGAAACAATTGTTTGTAAATTTATTCAATTTCCAAGTTGACGTAATATATTGTTCAGAGAGTTATACAGTGTGATAATATTTCTAACTAGTCTTGTTAATTGGCTTAAAGCATATATAACGTGATTAGGATTTTATAAGGATTCACAAAATTATGTAAGTGAAAATAGTTTGCTACTTATATCATTTTTCATAATCTTGTTTAGCAGGCTGGTTGGTGATAAACAGTATGTCTACTGTTTTAAGTGTAACACCACACCAATGAGTATTAACACTACTGTATGATCACATTTATTTTAATTATGATAGGGCCTGTGGATGGAATACCTGGCTACCATGTCACAGGGAAAATTGATATGGGGGTATTATTTTTCAATTATTTTTATAATATGCATTATATATATATTGATTATCATTTGATTAGTCCCTAGTGCATTCTATTTTTCTACATAAAGGACAACTTTGCCTGGATATATATTTGCCTAATTATTTAATTAATTGTTTTCTCACAAATTAAAAGAAATAATATTGAATTTTTTAAGTAACCTAGTAATATAGGTTGTATTTTTTTGAAAAGTCATCAACTTAGATTTGACAGAAAGATAACGCTTATGCCAATATTACAATTATTATCTTAATTATTGAAAAAAAAATAGTAATATATTTTATATCAATCATTTATAAATTAATTAATTTAATATAAAAATACTTTGTACTATTTTTGTTTTATTCTATGTTGGATCTAAACTAAGTAAGCTTGTATTATAACAAAATATAGCAAGAAATCTAATATCCCGTTTTCATTCAAGCTTAGAATAAGTAAAATATGAGATCATTGTTGTCATCTGTACCTAAGATACTATTTCAGGTGTTGTGTGTTCTTAAGAAATATATATTATCGATATTAGTGTCTCAATGATAGTTATTATCAATGTAAGGGATACCAAATTTTTTTTATATTAAAGTTTATATTAAATCAAAATATTCTGCACAAATAGTTCCATAAACATTATACAAATTGTTATGTTTTAGCCATGTGGTTGAGGGTAGTCTAGATTAAATCTAGTTTTTTTAGTATTTGTTGATTTTTTCTGATAATAAAAATGCTTTTAAAAAGAGTTTTTCTTATTAATCAATCTTTTATGCTCTAAATTGTATGTAATAATGTACACATGATAATTGAACACCTCCGAGAGGTTTCTTGTCAGGGTAATTTTCAATTCTAATATTTTAGTAATATTTTTATTTCTTTATTCCTTATCTATTCCTAATTAAAATTAGAATATTTTTTTTAACCTCATAAGGTAGAATGCTGGCAAATGCAGAGTAAAATAGCTGAATAGCTGCAATCTGCTGCTAGATAGGTGCTAGAAACTGCTAATTATTCCTATTAGTGAGGGAGCCATTACATGTTAGTCATCAAGGATGTGAATGCATATGTAGTATTAGGTTTCTAGAACTGCTACTGTAGGTGAAAATGGGTAACAGTCAAGGGAGTATCTAGGAACAGGCACAGGGTTACGAGCTCTTCTAGAAAATCTAATGACCCAGCTAAACAAAATATTTGGTGTTCCCAACTCCACAAGAAAAACAAAAAACGTATCTGTTTAGCAGTGCTTCAACAGGGTAAGGTATCAGTTGTGAAATATAAATAATACCAATATATATTGAGAATGTTAGCTACGCCCATGGCTGCAGTAGCCACTTGCCAACAAGAGAATGTTAGCTTGTTTGTTAATTCAATGACATATAGGAAAAACTAGACAAATGCGGGTAGGACTCAGACAGATGGACAGACAGACATTTTTTAAAAATTGTTTTTTTTTGTTATATTAAATTTACCACGGGGAGTGCTCAGATGAATTGTTTGGATCAATTCCATAATCGCATATCGCGACAAAACTAACGGTAGGTACCATATACTCCATTTAGATACTTGGCGGTCCAAACTGTGTGATTTAATACGAGTTTCCTTCCTCGCACGACTTCTTTCGCATCGTCTACCATTGGCGATTTTCCAGACCGATACGACTTATGAACCTTCAAGAAACGGGCTTACTCTGTTTTAAAAGGCTGGCTAAGCATCTACAATTCCCTTGTTGTTGCAGTTGTTCATGGGCGTCGGTCGACACTTACCATCAGATGAATCCGAATGCTCATTTGCTCAATGTTCAATAAAAGAAAAAGCTATTCGATATTTCTAACCGTTCCCGAGAAAGTTTATCTTGGCACGCCGGTGGACAAGCCCTTCCCCAATTAATGTCTGAGAAATTAACATTTGGTGGACATGTAAACTCCGCTAATACTAATAGGTACTGAGGCGGCTCGTCGGACTTTCCACTGTTCTTAAGCCTTCTCAGAAATGGGAGGATGCTTAGCAGTGGGACATAAGAAGGCAGTTACTTTACTTGTTTTTGTTTTCGGAAGTTAATGTGTCTTTTTTATTAATTTATGGTAAACAGTGGGCCACTCTGGCCCGTTGATTCTCTTTGAGGAATCAACTTGTAGGTTGTCACGCCGGTGTAGGTACTTACTGGCTGCCGGTCCAACCTGTAACTAATGTAGTAGTGTAAGGAATGTTTTATAGTGATGGTGAGAGCGTCGTCAACATTTTGAAAATTATTTCGTACCGATCCAGTTGTTATTCTTTCTGGTTTATGATGATGTTAGTGCTGATAGATTTTTGACTCTTACAGGTTCATCGGACTCAACTATGGACTGGGTGGAGATTATTTTTTTTAGCGCAACACAACGAAAGCAACGTTGCACTAAAACCAATAATCTTGTGTTGTTGTGATCACATCATGGCATGGATGAGTTGTCTAACCGCCGCGCCGTCCGAACAAGGGTGGTGGGCCCCGACTCTGACCGGTAACTTGTATCGTTCGATGTTCTGGGCGGTGAGAACCGCCCAGGGATGCGGGTGTACGGTGTGTACGCGGTTTGGAGGGGTGTACGGTGCGCCTGTCTGAGGACTCGCTGCACCCCGTCCGTTGTCCTAACGCTGTATGTGACACTAGGTGAGTGTGTAGTGTTGGTACGTGACGGGCCGAAGACATTTGGGTCGTCGGAATCTAGCGGAACTGGGTATTCAATTAGAACGTAAATAATATAAAAATCCACAAAAACTCTTGCATAGATGGTTGTGTGAAACTTTTACACTATAAAGAAAGATAGACTTTAGACTGACAAAACATACGAGGCTCGAGTTCTAACCGTAGTTTTTTCTGTTTGCTAGGCTCAAGTTCAAATTAGGTTTTTTAATTTGGTCGGATAATGTAAAAGTTATTGTTTCTTTCTGTACTATTAGCTATATTTTAAATTAATAACATTAAAAATAAATAACCCAAACCACAGATATTCATAAAAGTAGAAAAATTAAAAATTTACAAATGTGCAAAAAATTAAAGAGCAAAGCACTGACGCATTGTTTTGTGTATTAATATAATACTCTAGAAACTGATAACGTTTTATTAAAAAAAAACTTCTCAATTAAATTACATTGTGTAACAAAAAATTTTACTTCAGTGTACTAGCGACATCTGGTGAGCAGAAAATTATTAGCCCTCATTGATGGTACCTTAAGAGTAACTTATTGCTGGATACAGCTGGATCTTACAACGTGATAGAGTCACGCTGCAAAATTATATGGTTGCGAATGGGTCGGCTTGTCTGGGGTAAAACCACGCTCGCACAGAAACTAACGTGTAACGTTAATCCTCAGGTGTGACAATGTATCTGCATTCATTTTTATAGAATAAGGATGACAAAGGAACACATAGGCCAACAATAAATGCTATGTATGGCTAATAGAGACCTAAATCTATTCTCGATTAAGAATTAAAATATAGATAGAATAGAATAGAATATTTTTTTTATTCAATATTGATTACAAGTAATTTTTATTGAAAGTCATTGTTTATTTTACCACTGGTTCGAAAAAAATCCTCTGTCCTGGGAAGAACCAGCAAGAAACCCTGCGGGACATTTTTTTAAAATAAATTTTACAATACAAATGATTACAAACTATTTACAAAATTTATTTTAGAAACAGCTTGGAAGCGACAACCATGTATTCATTTATACTATAATAACCATTTTATACAGCTTTTGTTTAATTAAATATTTAAACTTGGTAATAGAGATACCTTGTATATTTTCTGGGACTTTGTTGTAGTAGCGTATACATTCCCCCAAGAATGAATTACTGACTCTGTGGAGTCGAGAGACCGGCAGCACTAGCTTGTGTTTGTTCCTAGTGTTTACAGAGTGTATATCACTTTTTTTTGTAACCCTTGTAACCCTTGAGGGCAAAGGTAGAATGCCTCATTACTAGTAAAGGTTCTCTAAACTCACTATAAGACACTTAGTGGCATTAATCTACTACTGCACGCCTCACATGCTTTACTCTCGCCATGCCGCTATGTGACGATTTTGCAATATAAAATTGTTAGTATGTCTCAATTTAGACACCAAATCAATAAAAAAGGGGATGTTTTGAAAAGTAGATATATTAAATTATAAAGTCAGTGTATTTTTTATTCATTTGTGTAGTTATATTTACAAAAGAATGTAGTTAGAAAATTTAGTACGGCTGTCAGTTAGTTTTTGCACTTGTTCGTCTTCACGTTTCAATAAAATATACGCAACGAAATGAAATACATTTTTCTGTATAAGTCTCCATTTATCCTCAGGATGATCCATATTGCTGGTTGTTATCAGACTCATAGACGTTTAAAGGATATTTATTCTTCATCAAAATTAAATGAAATTTTGATGAATAAAATAAAAACGCTCATGAGCCGTGCACTTTTGGATTTTCCAAACTATTTTACTTTACGATTATGTGACAGCGTGTTCCTTCCCGGTCGAGCCGATCCATTCGTGCTGAAACTATAGCGTGGCTCTACCGCGTTAAAATTAATTTGATATTTCCCCCAATCTAAGTAGACTCTTTTTTTAAGATTGTATTATTAACATTTGGTGTTAATAATACAATCTTAAAAAAGATAGTAGATAATAAATAAAAATACCTGCAGGTGTTTTCACCTGCAGGTATTTATTTCACATTCACAGGCATTAGGTCTTAGAGAGGGGACGTCACTGTCTCCTGGATAAAATTTGTTTCATTGCAGATCACTTTTTACTTAATGTAATAATAATGTGATGAAAATTGAGACTATTATAAACATTAATAGTGTTTAAGTTATGTTAGTTATATAGTGTATAATTTTTGTAGAATTATAATTAAAAATTCAGCGAAGTTATATATTATGCAATTTTTTATACATCATCTTTCGTATTTTGTTTCTCTATTAAGAGACTTTGTTTGGCTTTGACATTGTCATTTTATTTTATGAAGCTTCTATAAGCTTTTATATTTATTATCTACTTGCTGGGCAGGCAGACGTTGTTCTATCTTCTCCGACGACCCTGCGTCCTATAAAAAATCTTAAATTCGTAATAAAAAATTTTGAGGATCACTTATAGCGATAAAAGCTATCCTATCTCTCAAGTTGGACCAAACTGCACACAGTGAGCAAAATTTCATTGCAATCAGTTTAGTAGTTTAGGAGTTCATCGCGGACAAACAATGTGACACGTAATTTTTATATATAAAGATTTAGTGCTTGTTAGGAACATACGCACTAAAGCATAATATACTGACATATCAGGTTCATATCAGCCTATGGTTTGCCTTGACTTGTACTCGAATATCTGGGACACAGTCTGACGGGTTATTTGTATTCATTACGCAGGGAATCATTGATATGACGTAGATATCTTTAAAATATTAAACATATGGAAAAATATTATAATATTAATATTAGATATTTTGCAAATTATGAATTAGATTTTATTGACCTTAACTATATATTTAATATTTAGAAAATATTACAAGTTAAAAAAATACTTTACTTTTGCGATAGGCTTTGTTATGGTTACAAAATTAATTTCTCACAAAATTAATAAAAGTATTTAAAGTACTATTTACTGTGTATAAAAGCTTACCTTCACAGTTGCGTCGTAATTGGGGCGGCACGAGCAGGAATTTTGCAAACACTACAACATTTGTTTCACCGTCGCTTTGCGACAATTGGTTTCTTTTTACGCACTTTATTCATTGTCCACTCAAGAAATGTCCACATGAATTCATTCGCATGTAGGATATCTTATTGCTTTACAGACAGAAATAGTGTAACTATTGAAAATGCGAGCCGGTCGCGGCCGAGACGCGAGCGCGCGAACCCCGGTTATTTTTAGCTTTCGTGCATCGGCGCTGAAATTAGACTGTAAATAAAAAGCTTTCGTTAACAGGAGTCAGAGTCCCCGTTAATCCTGTCAATACGGTCGTTGCTTGATTCTAATAAATGACGTTTATTATTTACTGATTGTAAGGATGTCATCACAACCTATAACACGTTAAACCTTTTTCTTTATGGGGTCATTATACTGCAGTCACGTTGAATTTACTACTTATTAAAGACACGTTTCATTTGCAAACATTAGTTTATCTTTACATGTTTATATTATTATACGTATCACGTTTGTAGTAGTATTTAATAGGAAATATGTGCGTAAAAAAATAATAAATACACTTTTACATCTAAGATATTTACAAAAATCTACACCTCTTTCCATTTCCTCAATAAAAGGAAGTAACAAGAAATGATTGCAAAATACCTTTAATTGTTTTCGTTGTTAAAAACCGCATTTCAAAGTTAGTTATTTTAGGTTATTCGCGTACGAAAATTTCAAAACCTGCTTCATGTAGACACTTCACAGGTCTAAAACGTACTGACGCGGGCGACTTTCACTGGGGAGACTACCCCTGCCTGGCGTACTCACCACCCTTGAGTGACGTCACTCGGCGTCGCGTCACGACCTACGATGTCGTACGCCCAAGGCTCAAAACCCCCATCCCTTTCCACTTCGTAAAATGTCGCGAGGCAGCAACCAGCGTGTTACGTAAAATATGAACTATAGAGAGTTTACGTCAGCATGGACGTCAGCTTCGAATAATTAGGGTCACAAAAAGGCTTTTGCTATTTTGTTGGGAAATTGCTTTTTATGTTTTTTTATTTTTATTTTAATCGCCTACCGATTGGTACATAAGTAACGTTTATAGTGTTTAATTTATTTATTATTTAATTAATAAGGAACATTTAAATTCTTAACACCAGCTTTTACGTACATTACTATTTTTTTAAGTTCCCAAAAAAGGCAAAATGTAGCTTCATATTTTAACTATCTAAGTAGTTCATTGGACTATATATGTGGATTCGCGCATGCGTGTTTCATTTTAAGTACAACTTGATGTACAGTGCTTGGAAAACATTACGGTGAAGCTCCTTGTGTTTTATAGTATCCTGGTAAGAGTAACGCCCGAAGAAAATTGTTGCCGCCCTACGTAGCATTTTTGGGCGGGCTAGGGCGGAGCGGACACTCCTTTATGAGTATTATTTTATTTTGCTTAAATGTAAAAGATTTTAAAATAATTGATATCCATTCTATGAGCACATAAAATAAGTTTTAAAGTAGGATTACTAAAGAAAAATATCAGATTAAAATATGTTATAAAATTCATGTTTACAACATTTTTATTCTTTACTCAAGATGGCTCATTTATGCCTTAACTACAACATAGACACGTCTCATTTTTCTGCATATATATCTAATTATGTATGGTCCATTTCCCTAATTTTATATACACTAGAAACCGGACTACAATTTTACTTTAATTATGTAAAATCTATGCATGTGAACGCCTTTTTAATACTAAAATAATATAAGAATAAGAAATATACTACTTTTGGGAGAATTCAAGAAATCTCCCGAAAGTAGTATATTCTTCTTCAAGCTGTAAAGCTATTTAAATAATAATAAAGCTATTTAAAAAATATTACTTTTTCGTTATTATCATCATCATCATGACAGTCTATCAAAGTCCACCGTCAAATACAGGGCTTTCCTATAGGTTGCACTTAGAAGGGACAATAGCCTTAGTTGCCACGCTAGGGGCGGGTTGGCAACCGAAGTTTTTTATTATTTTAATGTTGAGACATTATGTTGCTGCCTATCTCCTATTAAATTTCCCTCTGTTACCTCTTCCGATACCCAAGGGATGATATGATGTTGTAGATTGTGATTATGAATGAAGGTATATACTTTGCGATCTCCAACACACAGTGTAAATAAAATTTTCAAGGTTTACGTGCCATATTAGAGCAATTTTGGGAAGGTTGCGTTCCAACTCCATTAAGAGAAACTTATAATCTATACATATAAATAAAAAATAAAGTATCTACCTGTAATACAAAAATACTTACTTACTTATCTTCACGCACAATCCCTGACGGGGTAGCCAGAGAGAACAGATCGCCAAGTGTCACGATCCTTACATATCTCTTTCGCTTCTTTCAGATTCATTATCTTCTTCATACATGCACGTCTAGGTATCCGAGTACTCTTGACCCTACCCTCTTCGAGCAATTTGCTCACATGGTCTTCGAAAGTTAGTCTCGGTCTACCTCGACACCTTTTAATATTAACTTTCGCGCTATATATTTTCTTCACCATTCGGTCTTCACTCATTCGCTCAACGTGCCCAAACCACCGAAGCACGCCCTTATCAATTTTTGTGATAAGGTCATCTTTCAAACCTGCCATATTGCGAATCTCTTCGTTTCGCTTTCGGTCGGCCATAGTAACGCCGCACATTTTACGAAGAGATCGCATCTCCACTGCATTCAACTTACTTTTATGCTTCTTCTGGCATACCCAGGTTTCGCTGCCATATAACAAAGTCGGTACCAACACTGCGTTATGTATTGCAAGGCGTGCACTCTTCGCTACGCCTTGCCTTTTGACTAACGCAGTCAGGGCACCATTGACTTTGTTCCCGGCAGCAACACGCCTGTCCACATCTAAATCACATCTTCCATCCCGGCTAAAAGCACTCCCCAAGTATACAATTTCATTTACCTGTTCTAGACATTCCTGATTTACCCATATTTCACACTTCGTTCTCTCTTCGTCCCTTTCAAATACCAGAACCTTAGTTTTATTAGCATTCAAACGGAGACCTTTAATTTCACATTCCTCTTTCATACACGTGACTAATGCCTGCAGTTCTGCCTCTGATGGTGCAATAAGCACTGCATCATCAGCATACAGCAGACAATTTACTTTTATGTCACCCAATTTCACACCCAAACAGCTATCTTTCAGCTTTTGTAAACAGCTGTCGAGATACAGTATGAACAGCCAGGAAGACATGACACAACCCTGTTTTACGCCCGTTTGGACGCTAAACATGGGTGACAGGTCATGCCCTACCCGCACACAGGCTTTACAGTCACAGTAAAGAGACTGCACAGCCCTTAGCAATCGGCCATCCACACCATACCCCGGCAACAGTTCCCACATTTTCTTCCTTACAACCTTATCAAATGCTTTCTCAAGATCCACAAAAGCACAGAAAATCTTCTGGTTAACAGCCAGAAGCTTTTCCGTGATCATACGGAGAGAAAACATTTGATCCGTGCATCCTCTTCCAGGTCTAAATCCGCATTGTGCCTCCCATAGAAATCTTTCCGATTTCTCTTGCATCCTACGTGTCAAAACCTTCGAGTAAACTTTACTTGCTAAACTGGTCAAGCTGATCGCCCGATAGCACCCGCAGTCAAAATGTGAACCTTTACCTTTATATAAAGGCACAATGACTGCGGATCGCCAATCATCCGGGACATCCCCAGTCCGCCAGCACAAATTGCACAGCAGATGAAAGCTGTCCCAGACGCGAGGCCCACCATACTTGACCATTTCAGCAGTAACTCTGTCTAGTCCCGCAGCCTTACCACATTTCAAACTTCGAATCGCACGTTCAATCTCTTTCATACTGATGACCTCAGTGTCATCGAGGTCCGGGTCTGGCGTGCCAGTCACGGCGTCATCCCCGGATCCCTCACTAAGATCATCACACGCATACATTTCTCTATAAAATTCGCTCCATCGCTGCATGACGTCCAATTTTTCTGAGAGGACGTCATTAGTTCTCGAAAGCACTTTGTTCATTCTTAAGGCCGTCGCACCACTTCGGGTCCTTCCAACCTCTTTCCAGAAGAGTTTGGAGTTCTCCTTAAAGTTGTGCGACAACCTTTCATCCGCTTCCATTCTACACCTTTCACGCACTTCCTCAATCAATGCTTTCGTGTGAACTTTCTGCAGCTTATATCTTTCTTTCATCTTCTCTCTCATATCCTTATCATTACTAGAGGCCAAGTAGTCTAACCATGCTTTCTTCTTCTTCTTTACAGCTTCTTTCACTTCATCATTCCACCATGCATCTCTTCTTTTACTACTGCCTCTTTTTATTGTTCCACACACTTCTTCCGCTGCACTTACCATTCCATCCCTAAGGTTCTGCCATGTTCTTTCTACACATTCGTTTCTGCCATCGATGGTGTCAAGCTTTTCGGCTACCCTCGCATGATATTTGTCCCTAGTATCCGCTTCCTGAAGCTTCCAGCTTCGGATGCGACAGACCGACTGTGGTTCTGTCACTGTCGTCCGGTAGCGCCAACCCGCGAACAGACCCCTAAATCTAGTAATCACTAGATAGTGATCCGTTCCCAGGTCAGCACCCCTGAACACTCGCGTATCCATAACCTGTTTTCGCAGTCGGTCATCCACCAGGAACAAATCGATCATACTTCTCTCATTCTTTCTTTCTCTAGTATACATATGGATTTTCTTGTGATTAAACATAGTGTTTGTTACAAGAAGACCCTTTTCCTTGCATACCGCCAGTATAAGCTTGCCAGCATCATTAACCCTTTTATCGCCAAACTTTCCAAGTACCGACTCGTACCCTGGTCGAGCGGTACCAACCCATCCATTCAAATCACCACATACAACAATCCTTTCGTTTCCCCTAGCCAAATCTAGAACTTCTCTTACATTCTCCCAAAACTCCTCCAGCTCAGCCCTGGACGACGAAGCCACCGGCGCATAAACAGCCAAAAGGAATAACTTCGTCAGTCCCAATTTAAAGCGAACCCAGAGAAGTCTTGAGTTCACAAACTTATATTCAGTCATAACATCGACCAACCGAGAAGACAGCAGCACCCCCACTCCCTGGCAGGCGTTCTCACTCTCCGGGACTCCGGACCATAGAGCTAACGCCCCGCCAGGGAGCTCTT